CGATAATGGTCCTGCTCCACTTCAGGGGGCACAGGAAGATGTAATGCATCAGCTGAAAACTGTGGAAACTTTTGGACGCGACAGTCACAGTGGAGGCTCCGCCTCTTAAAACATTTCATCTGCAATGTTAAAAATAAACAGCCCTTACCTAAAGCAGTTATTAATAAATGGCAAAGTTCAGTCCTTGATGTATGCATAATTATTATGGTCTTCAGGGAGCTGTCCATGTAAAATTAGATTGCTGATTGGCCATCTAAATAATTAACGGCAGTATGAATACGGGAAGCGTAGTTCACTGTGTATTTCACACTCTGCAGTCTTTACAGATGTCATACGGCAGCATAGAAATAATGAGCGTTCAGCGTGGGAACATTGCGTGGGACAGCGCGGCATGCCGCTACCTGCTCAGACGCTGGGGACGCGTCTGCTGTCCGAGCCACTCGTCACCTTGACACCCCATAAAACTGTCAGCGCTGGAGACAAAGTGTCCGTGCCCTGAGCTATGAGAAGAGTTGTCTGTAAGTAGATTAGTTCACATGTGTGGAGAACTGTGTCTGCAGGTGGACGGACAGGCTTGAACTTAAGCAGTAATGAGTTCACCATCTTCCCTCAGGCCCACTGCCAATCAGACGGGGGGAAAAAAATAGCCAAAATACATTAAAGATTCAAATCATCACTCTTTAGGGAAAGCCGTGGGGGGGCTAGACACCCCCAAAGTCACTTCAATGCAACACACTTTTTTGCTTAAACTAAAGTAAACTATCCAGTTTCTTAAATAACTTCATAAGAAATCTGTAAAAGAAAAACGATCAATTATTCTTAACGCAGGGAACTTTAGCCACATGATTCCCCGTTTGAAATAAATACATAGCACTGTATTTACTTTACAACTTTACGCACAGTATACAAACTGTATTCATTTGTAATAATTGTAGAGGGAATCTGTGGTCTTAATCCTGTCCTGCCATGTCATGTATGTATACATTTATACACATATATTCATGTATATATTCATTTTCTTTACCCCCCTGTGTCTTTTTACCACCTCATTGAGGCTGCGTTGAGCATTTTAAATGAAAGATTTTACCTCATTCTGGGTACAAACACTGGAGGCTCATCTCGCTACTGCAGCATGAAGAAGAATACGTTATATATAGATATTGTGTTTTAAAATGTTTGTTATATAGTTGAATATTAGGAATTTTCAAGGCACAAATACACAGTTGTTGTTGGTGGTGGCTTCCTAAATCGCATTAGGTCCCATTGGAAGAACTAGTCCTTCTGCAAATAGAGATTATATCGCATAATCCTTTCAATTCAGCAGCCCTAACCACACTTAATCACCCAAATTAACATCAGCTTTATTCTCTTGATTATGTTTACCTAAGTGCCCTGCAAGACTTCACCATAAACCGTGGGATCGGTGGGTAAAGTCTGAGGGGTTTGTTTGACATAACGTCCAGCCTCGGAAGACCATAGTGTATTATCGCGCTTCTGGACGGGTTAAAGCTCACACAACACACGCCATAAATAAGCTGTCGGTTTGTGCCTTTCTTTTCTTTTATTCTGTTAGTGAAGTCAATTGGGCATTGCTGCAGAGGAGCTTGTATTGTGTATGTCGTGTGTTGTCAACATGTGGTTGCGTCTGTGTGCGTTCTACATCAATTCACAGGGCAAAGGAGCCCCGGCAGTTATTTTGTTGTAACAAGTAAATGAATCTAAATTGCGGGTTGGTTTTCTACACACACACAAACACACACTGTGACGCACACCTACCTTGACCTGCTGATCAGAGGGACCATCACAAGGTCAAAGGCAGACCTGATGGAGTAGATGCTGAATGCGGAGCCACACCTGACCCTTGCTCGATAGCAAGATGTGGATCGACCTGAATTATCATCACCTCTCTCTCTCTCTCTCTCTCTCTCTCTCCTGTTGTGGCTGATCTCTCCTTACTTTCCCGACCCCCCTTCCACCCCCCCCCCTCCACCCTCCTCCTCCCCACCTGGTATTCAGCGGGCAACCAGACATTCTTGACATTTTGCAAAGGTTGAAAGACAAAGGACCTTTGTCTCCTAATAAGGCCGCACCCCACCTGAATGAGAATACATGCAGAGGGGGGGGGCGCGCCGTGTGTGTCTGCATGTAGGGAGGCATGTTGGCATGCGCGGGAAGTGGAGGTTGATGGGGTACATACAGTAGGGATACAGTGGAGTGAAAACGCATATGAGGACTGAGAACGTGTGGGCGGGACAGGATAAAGAACGAGGAAGAGGAAGATACACGAAACGGTGTGTGTGTGTGTGTGCGTGTGTGTCCGCGTGCGTCAGGTAAGAGGCGTGGGATTGAAGACAAAGTGAACAACGTCTGAAGGGTGAGAGCGATAGCACTTCGATTTCCCCGGCTAATGCAAGCTTTTGCTGCGAGAATCGGGGGCGCCGCACCCCGACGCTTCGCCCGCAGTCACACACAGAGAGACTCGGATGTTCTACAAGAGAGCGATATTCTCCCGTCACCGCAGGAGCTTGAGGCGGAACTCGAAACACACGTGGTCCTTCTGGTCTCTTCTCATCTCTCTCGCTCATATCCATCACACCCCTTAGTTCTACCTCTCACCTCCATCACCGCCTCCCTCAATCGCTCCTGCACCTTATTCCTCTGCAGTTCGCTCTAAAAAAACAGCTGAAGCAAGAGAAAAATAGGGTTTTCCAGCAAGTGCGATGGAAAGTTTAGCTTTACGTAGTTACAGCTGGTCGCCGGGTTGGTTCAGTCACAACTTGTTTCTTGAGTTTTCCCCGCATTGTCTCTATGCGCAGTTTTCCGAGGAACTCCCATTTTGGGAAGGCGCAGACTTAAATGTGAGAACGCGATCATCCTTTTTTTCTTTGTTTTTTTTAACATTGCATAAGCAAAAGGTAAAAATATCTGGAGCCGTCTTTGAAAGCAGATGGTGTGGTTATGACATCAGGCTCGTTAAAGGCAGTTATAGCTAACGAGAGCCAGGGCCTGTTGAGAAGTTCGCAGCCTTAAATCCCGCTTCCTTGGAAATAAATGTTCACTTTCTGTGTGTGTGTGTGAGAGAAAGGCCAATGAGCTATGAAACAAAACCAAATGATGTGCTGCAAAATCTTTAGATTCCCCCCTGATAGCGTCTTGTCTTTCTCTCTATTAATCAACTCCTACTCGCTCACTCTCGCTATGTGTGGCTATTATGTTATTCACTGGAATGTGGGAAGATATGGGATCATATTCAGACTTCCAGATTCCCTCCGCGAGCGACTATCATCCACGAGCTTGTTGCCTTGGCAACGTTGCATAAGAGGGAGTGGAAAAGTGGGATGCCCCTTCCTGATTGGGAGACAAGGTGGCAAATCTCTCTTCCTCTCCCCTCATCGTTCCTCTTCCACTTGCATCTTTTTCTAACTTGTAAAAACACCAGAGCTCCAGCTGTCCCGTCATGCCACGTGTTACATCTACTCGCACCTCCAAATGAAGCTCCACGGTTGAAAACAGCATGTCTAATACAGCTAGTCTTCAACTCAGTTAAAGTTCCTGACGGACCTGTGATTCCTGGCCCAGTTAGACATGTTTGTCCACACAAACCGACCTGCATAGACACTTGAACACGCCACTCACACGGCTGTGGGGGGCCTTGTCTTGTTGAATGCAATGAGAATGCACGCTCAAGACTGCATGACCAGCTCTTTCATGACTTCTATGTGAGCAAGGCCATGCTGGTGTCTACATACCGGGAGGAAGAACGGCCTTGGCTCTGGAGACAGGAACACTTATCTTCTGTATCTCATCTGACGCTATAAAAAAATGTGTGAGGGGGGGGGTACTAGGCCTTTAAACTTTATTCACAGATTATCTAATGATTCCCAAACAACACATAGTACAGAATACCTGTGTAGGCGAAAGGGATTAGTGAACAAAACTTCTCCGATGGAACAACTTCAAATTGAGTTTCCTCAGTTTTTCATTTTTCTCCAGCATGTTGCAAGCCGGGAAAAGAGCAGGGTGGGCACCCCCTGTGCGAGGGAGCTGTCTTAAGCCATGTGTTTAGCCAGCACCATCTGCTGCTTTGATTTAGATGGGATCAGAAATATTTGGTTGATTAGGAGAGGATCTGTGAAGGATCGACACACCGTTACCACCGGTTACGAGTGGCACGCGTGCTCCATTCCGTCAACCGGTGTCTGGGAAGATCAACGCAGGACAGATCAGCATGTGGGTGCTCAAACAAAGTACATTACACGTCGCACGTTTGCTAAACACACAACAGAAACTGTAGTCAGAGGAGACAGATATTTCTGGTTTGTGAGGAAATGGTAACAAAAAAAACGACACACAATCATAGCATTCAGGTTGGGAAAATTTAGAAGTTTAGTTGTGATTTTTTCTTGCTGAATGTGCTTTGTTCAGATCCACAGAGACAGTAAGGCTTTGTTCGCACTGCAAAGCCTCAAGGCTCAAGTTTATCGCTCGGATCTGATTTCTTTTGTGGTTCCAGTGTGAGCCGGTCACAATTGTGAGTTGACCCACATGCGTCGAAGAGCAATAACAAAGACGGCATATGCATCATGCTTATTTACAGAAATACTCTTTGAAGACGCTTGTGTCAGCGTTTATGCTCTCATTTATGAGTTGATGTTCAGTAGAAACCAGCAAAATCCGAAGCATTGTTGTCCTTCCAGTCAGAGAGTCTGTTCAGGGCGAAGAGGAGCATAAAGCTACCGGTGACGTTACACTCTCATTGGTCGGTTGATTTGCGGGGGACGTTGGTTCCTGACAACAGGAAACTTAAATAATGTTGTCTGATCTGGAAGTTTCTTATGTTATTTACGTGCTTATGTTATTGAAACATGCCGTCCTTATAAGATAACTTCATGGAATTAGTTTAATGTTGTCTCAAGACGTCTTTGAGGTTTGTACATCAACATTTCAATCCTTCCTGTGTTGTGTGAATGAAATATCCCTATAATTTGCCTTTATTCCAGGCGCTGACCTCGGTGGTCTGATGGATCTGGAGTCTCTGTACCGTGGCGTGGAGCAGAGTATCAACCACACGCGAGCGGGGCGCATGCGCAGACAGAGCCTGGACCGCGCCTACAACATCGAGGTGCTGCTTGGCGTCGACGACTCGGTGGTCCAGTTTCACGGGAAGGAGCACGTCCAAAAGTACCTGCTCACACTCATGAACATAGTAAGTGTTGGAGGCACAAACACCACACAGAGAAGTTGGGATACACGTATTTAAATTAATCAGGCATGTTCATTTCTGACATTAAAGGTTATTTTAGAGCTCGAGATAGTGGTGTAGTGTAACTAAGTACATCCACCCAAGTACTGTTCAAATTTAAGATACTTCCCCCTTTTGCTGTTCCAGATAATTTATCTGTTTCACTTTTTTTTGTGCAAAGGACTTTTACTTTCAGGTACAGTTTGCTATTATTACCTTACATAAGACCTTACATTTGAATATTTATTCCTTCGCTAAACACTAAGCCTGCGGCACGCCAGCGCACAAATGTATGAATTCATCTTCACATATATCCATCATTAGGAATACCCAAAGAAAATAAAACCATTAAATGGGAAATCTGTTCCATTTGAGTTGAATGGGAAGTGAGTCACAGTGAGGTCAAAAATAGAGGGTAACACACACACACACACACCAACTGAATGAGGATTCAATTCCCTTCCGACATGTTCTCAGCCAGCAATCAGCCACGGGTAATCCTTTCTTCTCTATCTGAATGTGATGAGATTTCATTTGTTTGAGTGTGCGTGTGTGTGTGTGTGTTAGGTGAGCCTTGTGCTCTGAAGGGTTTCCTACATATCATTTCATCAGGCTTTGTGTCATGTCATCATTCATCTAGTGTGTGTGTGTGTGTGTGTGTGTGTGTGTGTCTGTATGGAGAGAGATGCAGAAACAGCAGGCAGTGTGCTCCAGGCCGCTGCAACACTTAGCCGAGCATTTAAACTCCTAGGTGTGTGTGTGTACCCGTGCTTGTGTGTTGCCCTGCCATTGAAAAAACTGCAGACTTTAATCTTTGCAAATTAAACCTGCGGTGAGAGCGCTGTTTGCACGCGTGCCCGCCTCATCCTTGTTGGTGTGCGGGCCCCTGTTTGCTGTTGCGACCCACAGCGCGAGGAGCCGATCTCCCACTGTTAACTGCAAGCGCACAGCGACAAATCCCACCACACCTCTTTGTCTCGCTCAGCGACCTGAGGAAGAACAAGGGCCGCCGTGCCCTCCGCCTCCCCTTTTAGATATTTGATATCTAAAAGATATTTCACAATATGGGTGAAGAGAACGCGCAGCCCTGTCGCAGCCCCCCTCTCATCTGTGGGGAAGAGCCGGTGGAGACGGAGGGAGAGGGAGTATTAACAGCGAATCCGGAATAAATTACTGACTGCCAGATAAACAGAAATAAATAAATAAGGGCTGCCTCCCACATGTGGCATCTGGGCGGCTTTCTTCTTGAAAGTTGACTTTGCTCACTTCGGGACGGATGTGCTCTCTCTCTGTCTCACTCTCTCTCTGCTTTCTTTCTTTCCCTCTCTTTCTTTTCCCCAGCAGCGCTCAGCTGCTCCGCACTAAGCTATTCTGCATTGAGACTTCTCCCTGACTTGGGTAGTTTATGGAAACACAGCCTGACCAAGGTTAAACATCTACGTGGTTTAAGGTAGATTAAACAGATTCCGTCTGTCCCCTAAAGGACCGCATATGTTTGCCGGGTGCTTAAGCACACAGGGAATACCTCCACCTGAGGTAAGGACACTGTTTTGACATTGGAAAAAGGGTCTAATTGATATCATGATTTCTTCTCACTTCCGGGTTTGTTTCCTCCTTCCACCTGTTCTTCTCTCTAGATTCCAAACTGAAATAGACTCATCTGTATGCGTGTTTAGGCGTCCAACACATATAGACCAAGTGTACAAAGCGCTCCTCTGTCTTTTGTTGCAGCAGCTGTCTCACAGTCGTACAGGCACCCTCAAAGGATAAATAAAGCTCTTGTGTTTCAGTACGAAAGGTTATTCAATAAAAACAAAAAATGTTTGTGTTATTTCTTGGAGCTCATTTTCATCTGTTGTGTTTTGTAATTACTCGCAGAATCTACCCCTCACTTTCTGCCTGTTTGAATGAATGCCAAATTGAGGGACGGGTCGAGGTGAAACATTTTCTGTGTGTGTGTGTGTGTGTGTGTTGGCGGCGCACCGCTGTCTGCAGGACATCAAAGCGCCCCCGCAGTAAAACCACTAAATCCCGTCTGCGAAGTTCAGCAGGAGTGTCAAAGTGTGTTTGTGTGTCTTGATGTGTTGGATGAGTTGAACGTGTGTATCGGTGCTTCTGCTTCCCACTCCTTTCCCATGTGTTTGCCTCCCTTTAAGACAAGAGACGGATCGCGTGGCGTACACTGACAGCGATATGGATAGGGAGGGGGGGGACACAAACAAAAAAAGACGTACCTGAAAGAGAAGACATTTATTGTCATTCTCAAATCTCAAGAGACGGAGAGTGAGAGAGAATAAGGCGACGCATACGGAGAAGTGAATTAATAAGTTACAGTTAAGTGAGTTTGGAAAACAAAACAAAAACAGCAAGGGGAAGGAGAAATTGACATCCGGGGCACCGTAGATATGTGCATTGTTTCGAGTGACCACGGGTGACAAAGTGCGCTGAAAAGAAAAACACGAGTGCTGCACCAACGTCGTTGTGGTAAATCCTGCAAAAATACGACGCGTGCCAAATGCCAGGAGGAGGCCATTGTGCAGCAATCATCCTGTGGGCGACCATGGTGATAGATTTAGTGGCTAACAGTGATCTGTCTGTCTACTCTCCGTCTCAGCCATTAACGGAGACCTTTAGAGAGGTGCCGCTGTGTGTTAATCACACTTTCCGCGGATATGAATGGTCTTTGCTGGCCAAGCAGTTGCACCTGCGTGTAAGTTTAATTTACATGATGCATAGCTGCACACTGAGGTGTATTTTCACTACTCCAGCATGTGATGAGCATCATTTCTGCAGCAGCTATCTGGAAGGGGTGTTGAAGCTCCAGAGGCAGGAAAAGGCGACGTCGTCCAGGTAACAATAGACACCTTGCTACCTGGATGTGTATGGAGCCCTGTCACACTCACATTTCTAGGTCTAAATGACTTAAATATTCCCCAGTGTGTTGACAGACAGATATAGGAGAAGCTGTCCAAAGTCTTATCTAATTTATGTAACACTACAGCCAAATTTTATTTGATGACTCAGTTTTGTCTCGTCGGCCGCTGAGGGTGTTTTCAATGCATATTAAGCGAAAGCCACATTCCATGATGAGTTTACATCCTTAAACAACATGTAAATGTACTTTAATCATATTACAAATTCAAGTATCTCTTCAAATCATTCTCAGCCTCTCATGTAAGCTTCTTATCCATTTCTATTTTATTCTGTCTCTTGCAAGTTCCCCAACTTCACGGAGACACAAAAACCAAAAATTGCCACAAAACCTCTTTTAATGTGGTTGTATTATGATCACAAACTCAAGAATGACTCTCTTCTTTCCTTGAACTAACGCTGTCTTCTATTCACAGTTGAAGGTGAAAAAGTCCCATTTAGAGAGCCGGCTGCTCACGGGCTGCACTGTTTAGTGTTCCGGCTCGAAAAAACCAACACATGGATGGATGCCTGCAAAGCGTCACACGCTAGCAAATGATCATATTATGCCGGGAGCAGTACACTTTACATTTCAGAGGGTTAATTGGTATATATCTGATCATTTACCACACAGATGTTCCCGACAACAAAAAGACAGATGCTGAAAAGGTTTCTTGAATATTATCTAAAGCGGATGAGGCTTTACGTTACAACCGTGTTTATGTGCTGATGTCGTCAACGAAATGTTTTGCTGGCGAGTTTAGTTACCAGATCAAGTCTTTGACTCGAAGGATTCCTCCACTGGAATTTTTCCAAATGAGCTGCTGCTCTACACTACAATTGTTTTCTAAGAATGCATCCTTTCCAGTCCCCCCCTAAGCGTTTGTCTCCTTCCTCGCTCTGCCTGCGTGCTCCCTCTCCGCTCTCTCCTCAGCTCCTTGTGCCGCTGCCTCTCTGTTTCTATTCGTAGCATTCCTCAACCTTCTGCCTTTCCCTCGCCGGCTGCGTGTGTGTCTGCAGTTTCGCTCGTCGTCCCTCTACATCTGTGTGTGTGTGTGTGTGTGTGTGTGCGTATACACACTCTGTGTGTTCCTCTTCCTCCACAGCTATATATCAGCCATCTCATTACGGCTGTCTGTTTTTACATCCCTTTGCCTCATTAGGCACTGCGCACAGCCACTGAGGACGGCGGGCCTCGACTCCAGCGCCAACGTACCCCTCTGTCTCTCTTCTCGAGCGCGCGCGTGTGTGTTTTGCCAGTATAATGCTCTTTGCATCTCCCTTGTCACACATTACTTGGTTTTGCTTGCATTAGGCTCTTTCCTTCCTTCATCTCCTCTCCATCTGTGCTCGTGGGAAACGGACTTCATTGCCCTTTTCCCAACTTGCTTTTCTCTTCACTTCGTCTGTCACCCTGTTGCTGTTGACATGCTTTAGTGCAACAGGTTTATGAATTACTACTGGATATAATCATGGTTAATAAGCAATTATAGATCAGTTCTAAGGCATATACGAGCTTTGACTTTAATAGCAGAGTTCTTTGGAATTGATGGATTATTATGAAAACCAGAAATAATTCATGAGCGACTAACATTGTCGACTAAAAGTTGTCCTAATGACTTTAAATTATTAGTGTAGACATTGATGTATTTCTCCTGCTGAGTCCTCTCCTACGTCTTGTGCTTATCTGTGTGACTCTAGGTTAATGAGATCTACCACGACCAGTCTTTGGGAGCAAAGATCAATGTGGTGCTGGTGAGGATTATCATGCTGGGCTACGGCAAGGTGAGATCTGATGACTTCTACCCAAACGTGGACGCCTTGTCTCTCCATCAGCACTGTCTCTTGTACTAGCGTTCTGCTACAATAGCTTCACATACCTACAGAAAGCAAAGCCTAGTAGTACATACAGAAAGGCGCACACACACGCACGCACGCGCTCACAAACACATAAAACACATTCATCAGCAGGCACCGATGCCCGTAGCCTGTTATTCCAGTGGACTGAGCAAAAGAGGAACTAAAAGCATGCGGCATCCCAGGGGACTGTTTTCAAGTCGCACGCCTTCACAGTTCAGCACCAAAGCACACAGAAACTCTGCCCGTTATGCAATCAGCCTTCCTCCCAGTAGGCTGCTGCACAGAATCATGGGAAGTCCAGGCAAAGATAACCAATCAATGATAGCCCTCCCTCATTCATAAACAGGGAAACCGGACAATGGGGGTAGCATCCTTTTCTTCTTGACTGTAACTCTATCTTCCTGCCTGTGCCAAAGGGGAGAGGAGAGCGGGGTGGAAGAGAGGGAAAACAGATAAAGCCGGAGATGGCAGGAAAGGAGACGGGCTGGGATTACCCCACAGAAGGGATTTTATTGCTGGATAGGTGCTCTGTGATACACTTATGCTGCTGTAGCCTTATCTCTTCCTCTCTCTACAATGTCTAACGTCCCAGTGGAGCCTGCGAAACACACACACACACACACACTCTGCTACATTGGTCATTCTGGACCAGCCCCTATGCAGCTTCAGCCAAAGCTCTGGCTGTCCATCATCCCCAATTACCGTGGCAACGGAGCTGCGCGCAGACAGCCCGCAGATTGTCTATCTGACCCTGAATGCAGGCGCACCCACACACAAACACACACACACACTTGAACGCAACAAGTGCACTTAAAACACCATTCCAAAATCATCTTTAAAAACACACTGAAACACATTCACAAGCACCTGATGAACACGAAGCACACTCACACACGCACCTACTGTGTCTAAGGGGTGTCTGTGCAGAGGCAGGCCATATGTCTTCTCTGCTGCCCACCCACAATACACACACTCCCCGTTTTGAGTCCGCTGTGCATTGTGAGTGTGTGAAAGCTGGCAGGAAATGCAGAAATGAAGGCAAAAGGAAGCAGAGAAAGAAAGACATAGAACAGGGAGGGGAGCAGAGGTCCTAATGAGGAAGCGAATAAGAGGTGAAGGTGAATAGACATGATTGCTGGTTTCTGGGAGTTTGTGTGGGTGTCTGTATTGTTCATTGAATCGTAAGTACATTTTCTGTAATTGGACATGTTTTTGACTATTAGTGCATAACTCATTAACAGGCAGCTCTTTGTTCACTTTCTTATTCATTATTGAAATGATCAAGCTTACAGGAGCATTATTGTGTACTGTGGATCCCTTGGAGTGAGTGTGTGTTGAACACCTCAGCAATTTGCAAGATGTGCTGACACCATATAACATTGTGACACTGCCCCCTACTGGGATGAATTAAATGTTATTGTACCAGAGCAGAAACAAGAAGCTGGTTTAGTTCCTGTTTTTTTTTCTTGCCCTCTTTCTCCAACATGCTTCCCTGTCATTCTAGTCCATGAGTCTGATTGAACTGGGGAACCCATCTCACAGTCTGGAGAATGTGTGTCGCTGGGCCTTCCTGCAGCAGAAGAAGGACACGGGGGACGCTGAGCACCATGATCACGCCATCTTCCTCACACGCCAGGAGTTTGGCCCCACGGGCATGCAGGGTATTGTACACTCTTACACATTAATATTTAGCACATATATCAAAATGACATGCCCACCGTCTACTTTGAACTCAAACTCACACACAGAAAACTCCCCTCTTGCTCCCTCCGCCTGGAGAAGCTGCATAGTGCACTGTGGGTTCGGTGGTTTTCCGTGCAGCAGAGTGCAGGCTAACAGGCAGGCCCAGGGGAGAGGCCTCTGAAGGCAGTGGCCCAGCTATCCAGAAGCCCTTCAGCCGCCCTTGGGCTCAGCCTTCAGCAGCAAAAAATCAATAAGCAGAGCAGAACCGGCCACAGTGCCACAATTAAAAACAGGACAGGACACACGAGGAGTCAGAGATGGCATATGCAGGGGGTGGAAGGCGACGGGGTAGGGTTAGAAATGCAAAGATGCACACATCTGTGTGTGGGTTTGGCTATGTATAGATAGTACATGTTATGCACGTCTTTGAAGCAAGAAGTCACAGGATTGAATGTAAAAAAAAAAAGTGATTTATAGTTCAACTGAATGGATTAAATCACACTTCAATGCATGTCATTAAAGCAGATGTTTATTTCAGTAGATGAGAGACTGGCTTCATTCTTTGAATATTATTAAATCCTAGAAAATGAATACAAAAGGATCATTTGAAAATATAACTTATTGAAAAATATATATTTTTTGTAATGTTTATTGAGCTTTTACAGATGTGTTTTTTGTTCTGTTTTAGATATATCCCCTTTTCTTATTTTGATAATGAATGTTCCATGTTTTTTGTCACTTTTCACAAACTTTTTTTGCAAGCTTTCAGTGCAAGATAATAACTCTTGACAAGTGGGTCTCTCTTCCTGGTTACCTAGGTTACGCCCCAGTTACTGGCATGTGCCATCCGATAAGGAGCTGCACTTTGAACCATGAAGACGGCTTCTCCTCTGCCTTCGTGGTGGCACACGAGACCGGACATGTGTAAGCGCATTTGCCATAATTACGTCTTAAACCTCAACCTCGCGGAACAGCAAAAGACAACAAAGCAGTCACTCATGTGACCATATTGATTCATTACAATGGCGCTCCATTGGTTACCTCAGTCAATATCTGATGAGAGAATTGCTTCTGCCTCCCTGCCCTTACGTGTTCTTCTCCACCCACATGTTTTCATTTTGTCTCCACTGGTTCATCTCCTTTGCATTCACTTCTTTCTATCTCTCTCTCGCTCTTTGTGTGCAGGCTGGGGATGGAGCACGATGGCCAGGGGAACCGCTGTGGAGACGAGGTGCACATGGGCAGCATCATGGCTCCACTGGTGCAAGCTGCCTTCCACCGTTTTCATTGGTCCAGATGTAGCATGCAAGAGCTGGGACGCTACCTTCAGTGAGACACAGACACACACAGGCTGATTCACCACACATACTACACAGGGGTTTAAATAAATAAGTAAAAACAGGTAGATAATTAGTTGTCGAACACAAATTAATCAGCATATTCCAATTTTTTGACTTCTCTTGCAGATCTTATGACTGTCTCCGTGACGACCCCTTTGACCACAACTGGCCGTCTCTGCCTCAGCTTCCTGGTTTGCACTACTCCATGAATGAGCAGTGTCGCTTTGACTTTGGTGTTGGCTACACGATGTGCACCGCGGTAAGAGACCTATAGTCACTCTACTAACTGAATCAGAGTTTACTAACACTGGTTAATACTGACGGCAGCTTCTACGACGGTGACTTGATTGCTTGAGATGATGCAGTTCTTCAGAGTTGGGGTAGACTCACTTTGAATTTACTAATTTGACTGTGGAATGTCCAATTCTATAGGCCTTCTCGAGCACTGGAGGTTTTACTTGTGAACTGAGCGCTGCACTTGCATCATCTTTCTCTGATCTACGTTGCAATGAAAGAGTCAGACATACACAGCTTTTCACATTCTTCTGATGTCCTCTGCTTTCCTCTCCTGGCCACTGGTGGGATTGGCATCTTACTTAAAAGCAGGTAACTAAATAGCCATTTGTTTTTTCTGTTGTTAATGTTAAAATGATTTAAATAAATACATTTATTTCAACACAACACTTACCATGATACCCGAGAGCTTTTACACGAGCCTTTCACACAACAAGACCCGATCTTCAACATCCCGCCGGGCGTCTAACCCCCCCCCCTCTTTGACTGTGACGTCACTGTGGCCCACTGCTGATTGATTGTCAAAGGGTTTATCCACGGGCTTTGCACACATTGCTAGATTACCCTCTATTCTCTTGTCAAACCCATTCCCCTCAGCTACAAAAGGCGGGCCAGTCAGGAACGCAGGTAAGGTAACCCCACCTCCCCGAAGACATGTGGCCCGTCATTTGTTCTCTCAGATTTTATTTTTCTCTTTGTCCTCAGAAAACGTAATTTTTTTGTAATGTTGCTCCTTACTTTTCTGTTTTACTGTACTTGTTTCTCTGTTCTGCTCATCGTCATTTTTTGGGATGTTAGTCTGCAGGATTCTAAAATGCTTATTTCCAGACACAGTGGCAGTAAAAAGCCTATAAAAACGTGACTACACTGGTTCAGTGACTGTGGTGCAGTTCAACAGTTGAACCGCACCACATCCTGGCTCCGTTCCTGCAAATCTCTGCGTTAATTCACAGAAGCGCAGGAAAAGCCTCATTATATTGGAACACCGAAGACTATAAACGAGTGGAAAAGGTTGGAAAGATGTCTTTCCCATCCAAGGTTAAAGGGCTGAGCCAGAAGAGGCTGCTTTTCCACATTTAACTTCAGCTTTTAGGATCCTCCAGTCTGATGTCATTCGTTGTTACCTACCACAGTCGAGCCTTTGATTGTTACTCTGACCTGCAAAGGTCCCCGGGGGTCATGGTGGTGTGAAAGTCGGTGGAAAGTAGGGAGAAGGGCACGGCCCCTCCCACACTGGACTACGGGTCAGTTTGGTGGTATTCTCATCAGTGGTTTGTATCAGAAAAGGAGGAGAATTCGATCCTTGATCTGTGTCTGGGGACAATCTAGAGGGCTATGACACCTCACCTTTGGCCTTTCAACCTTTTCGCCCTCTGACCTCCTTTGTGACCAAATTAAACCACGGGCTGTGTCTCGATCATCCTTTGGTTTAGTTTGCATGAATGGCTGTGTGTGTCTCAGTGGAGCGTAGTGTACAGTGCAGTGACACAGCGCGGGGTCGGTGTCCTTCTTGTCGGGTATAAACTGTTGTGGTTATTGTTGTAGTGATATTTCTCTTCTCATCTCTGTTTTCATTTTCAGTGTTTAGTCTCATTCCAGCTGTCTCACGATAGTTGACTTGTGAGACTTTGATGCGGTGTGTGCGTGTGCTGTGTAAAAGGACTTTTAGTTGTAAGATAGAGCCTCTCTCTGTACCCTGCAGTATCGCACGTTTGACCCATGTAAGCAGCTGTGGTGCAGCCACCCAGACAATCCGTTCTTCTGCAAGACCAAGAAAGGGCCTCCTATTGATGGCACCATGTGTGGGAATGGAAAGGTATTGATGCACTACTTGAATTAACATATATTCTGCTGAAAACCACTAATTTGACAGCGCAGTACATCCAAATAGCAACAGGGTTTTCTCGCGTTCTCCAGCACTGCTTTAAAGGTCACTGCATCTGGTTGACACCTGACATCATAAAGCAAGATGGAAACTGGGGGACGTGGAGCGAGTTCGGCCAGTGCTCCCGCACCTGCGGTGGAGGAGTGCACTTTCGCACGCGTGACTGTAACAATCCGAGGTATGGGACTCTTTATTATTCTTTATTTAATTATGCTAAATTCAGCTTAAGCTGTAAAACTGTTTTTAGAACGCATTCCTCGACACAACGTCTCAACTTCCGATATTTGTTGCAATGATTCCCGAAGGTAATACGATACGCTCTATTAACACAAGATGAAGATAATTTGTATAAGCGTTGAATATATATTTCCTTCCCCGAGCTTTGAGTGATAATCATCCCGTGGCCCTGCAATCCTCTCAGGCCAGCAAACGGGGGCCGTAGCTGCATGGGGGCGACGGACCAGTTCCAGATGTGCAACGTCAACGAGTGCGAGGATATCTACAGTGACCCGCGGGAGGAGCAATGCCACGCTTGGGACCCCCACTTTGAAATCCACAGCAACATGCACCGCTGGTTGCCTTATGAACACACAGACCGTGAGTGCACACACTCAGGTGGGAATGGGGAAGAAGGGGTCGCTAGAAGAATACACGCAGGAAGGGGCGGTCGGATAGCAGCCTGGGAACGACGGACCGGGCGCCATGATGCACGATGGAAGTCGTAAATGCGAATGAAAGCCAGAAAGAAAGAGGACGCGCACACATCATTCTTGAGTGTGGTCGGGTTGGAGAGGGTTGTGTATATGTGCTCTGTTATGGTCATTGACATCTGGCTGTCCGGCCGAGCACAGATTTAAGCTCCGGCTACACCCTCCCAATAAAACCACGCCCTCTCTGAGGAAATCTCTTTAAAAACAAACTTCTTTGAAGTCTGTGTTTTCTCTCTCCCCCCCCCCCCCCCGCCCTGATGTCAGCTGAACTTTGCTAACCTCTCTCCCTACAGCGTTTTCTCTATCGATGCATGAGACAAAACTTCACTGCATGTCTGAAGCCCCTTTTCATTATTGAGAAGGTTTGAAATGCACGTGAGCGTGTGACCTAGCCGGTCTCTAGGAAGAGGTGTCACTGCCTTTCTGGTACGGTATTGAATTATCATCCAAGTAAAGGGCAGCTCGAGAGTAAAGTGCTGAGCTGTCTCCACATGTAATTGGAGGTCACGATACACACACTCAATGCAAAGGAGCCCCGCTAAACTGTTTTCTCCGTTCTTAGCATTCCTAAATGCCATATTTTTCAGCCAGGCTTTCTCAGTCTCAAATTACTTTTGTGACTGTGTGTTAGTGGGCGAGCACAGATGTGTGTGTGTGTGTGTGTGTGTGTGTGTGTGTGTGTGTGTGTGTGTGTGTGTGTGTGTGTGTGTGTGTGTGTGTGTGTGTGTGTGTGTGTGTGTGTGTGTGTGTGGCGGGGGGGAAGGGAAGAGAAAAGTGAAGAGGGAGGTGAAATTGAATTCCATCCATGGTCCGTCATCTCCTGACTTTCAGATTGCGAGAAACACAATGCGTCTGCTCAGGGTGTGAGATTGTTTGTTCAGAGACGTTTTGTTTGTTTTTGTCTCTATTTAGGTGTTTTTTTTCGAAGTCGGCACTAGATAGTAATTTACTGAAAGATGAGAGGCAAAGCTGCCCTGCGTGTGTTCGGCTAATCAATCGGCTGTTTAGAGCGATCCACCCATTGGTCTGTCCATTAAATCGTGAGAGCAGTGTGCAAAATGTGGAATGACCCCCTGAAAACATTTGAGGGCTCCCATGATTTAAGCTTATCATTTTGTATTTGTCCACACTCTTGTTGAAAGATGAACTGGCAGCTAATGCAAAGCATCACTTAGACATAAGCGCAGGATATACGATGATGATGTAGAAAAGTGTCCTGTTTCCATATGTTATCGTTTTACAGTAGCACGTCTGCCACCTGCTTATTAGTGTCAAAGCACCATAAAACAAGGTCTCTGGATTGTGTCCATGTGTAACGAACGTGATGAAGTCGAGTGTTCCTTCTCACTGGGATAAACTGCCAGGTTTTGTCTCTGGAGGCTCATGTAGTTGTATTATGAGTCACACAAATAGACACAATGAGAGAAAGCGCCACGCTGACTCATGGAGCTCTCATTCAGAAGAATATAAAATAACCCCCATGTTATTTGTGAAGATGAAATCCAAAACGGATCACAAAAGTGCCAATTGGGTCATTTTTGTGTGTTTGTTTTTTTCCTAGCTACCAAACGCTGCAACCTGCATTGCCAGTCCAAGGAGACACGAGAGGTGGTTGTCACGAAGAGAAGGGTCCTGGACGGCACGCGCTGCTCCTACAAGGACCCGCACAGTGTGTGCGTGCGTGGGGAGTGTGAGGTGAGAGACGTTGTGCATGTGTGTGTGTGTGTGTGTGTGTGTGTGAGAGGGCGAGACGGCTGCTGCCTTGTGGTCAGATCTGCATGTGTTTAACTTTCCATGTCCTCTTGAACAGAAAGTAGGCTGTGACGGCGCGGTCGGCTCCTCAAAGCAGGAGGACAAATGTGGAGTGTGTGGAGGAGACAACTCCAGCTGCAAGACCTTCAAAGACACCATCACGCGCACTGCCAAGAAACAAGGTGAACACACACACACTCACAGGGACAATAACCCAGATCGGAATGTCGGACGGGCATGACATCAGACGTAGCCGCTGCCTTTCATGCTGCTCAGTACGGGATAGTTGTCCGGTGCTCCTTTATGGTATGAACCCCACGTTGAGTTATATTCAGCTAAACGCCGCCCTCTGGAGGAGGATCAGCGGCCTCTATGAGCACATGTTTGTTAGTAAATGATCTAACCTTCGACATCAGAGAATTCCAAGATTCTCTGCAATGTGTACTTCTGGTCTGTAGTAGTGAGCAGGGGTATTTGGTTTAAATTATTAAGAGCTATTTGTGGGATTAGCTGAGGCTTTTCTTTGGTAAACTAACACTTTCATGATGTCAACTTTCTTTCAGGTTTCCTCAAAGTTCTTGAAATCCCCAGAGGAGCGAGACACTTACTGATCCAAGAGCTGAAAGCAACCTCACACACTTTAGGTATTTGACAAATCTATCGTGTTTTTCTTACCTACGTGTTTATATAGTATTGTGCTGTATATTGTACTAGTGTGATTAATGGAAATCCTCACGCATCTACAGCTGTAAAGAACGTCGCCTCTGGACTTTTCTTCTTGAATGGGGAAAACGATTACCCAGAATCCCACTCGGTGATAGAAAAGGGCGTGGAGTGGGAATATGAGAATGACAACGACAAGGATTCGCTTCAGACCACTGGTCCTATCAGACATGGAATTCTGATCATGGTACACATTGAAAAGAGAAGAAATTAGCAATATTAGGAAAATTCTGATCATACACAAGCATCTCTGTCCTTCTCTCTCTCTTTTTCACACACAATGTCAATTCTTTCCCCTTTGCAGATGAAATTGCGTGGCGATGAGGATGTGAATTTGTCTTATAAGTACATGATGAACATGGACAGTGACTCTGCTATTCAGAACAACATGCTGGTGGAAGACAGCGCCTATGAGTGGGCTCCAAAGAGATGGTCCTACTGCTCCAAGCCCTGCGGTGGAGGTACAGTAGAGTAAAGGAAGTGCTTTCTGTGAAACTCTGATCATCTATCATGCCCGTCTTTATGTTTTCTCATGCTCACATTTATAAAATCCTCTATCCCCTCATGCTGTAGGGAAGCAGTACCTGCGATACGGATGCAGAAGGAAAGTTGACAGTAAGATGGTCCACAAGAGCTTCTGTAACAAATCCAACATGAAACCCAGAGGAGACACCAGAGACTGCAACCAGAAGCCCTGTCCCCCACCCATGTATGTATATGTCACCATCTGTGAAGATATAGGAATCTTTACTCATGTTCTACACTGAGTAGGCTTTGTCTTTCCTCCTGTTTCATTGTTTACTTCAGTATTTTGGGAATATTGAATGCCTCCAGACCTCCTGTCTTTCTCTCATCTGCCCCGTTGCGTCCCTCCAGTTGGGTGACACGGGAGTGGCAGAACTGCAGCAAACCATGTGGAAAGACAGGGATGCAAATCCGCTCGGTCAGCTGTGTCCAGCCATCAGATGACAACACCACACGCCCCATCCACAACAAACACTGCAACGACGACAGGCCCGAGTCTCGCAGACCCTGCAACCGACACTCCTGCCCGACCCAGTGGAGAGTCGGCCCGTGGTCGCAGGTACGCAGGCTGAACATAGGGCAGCAGAAATCAAAAGTTTGGTCCATTTTGCAGGAAGAATTTGCAATATTTTTTATACGTCCAACAGATGCTTTTTGATGATTTTTGTGGTTTTATTATCAAACGTATTACTGTAAATCAAGGAAAATGATTACAAGAAACTAGGGCTGACAATAGATTAAAACAAATTAACTGATTATTTTAAATTCATTAATCGCAAATAAAAGTTGTACTTTATTGCATTAATTTTGGCCACATTAATTGCATAGGTTAACATGTTCATTTTGACAACTCCACAAAAAAAACAGCGTCATGATACGCCTACATTAAATGCATTTGTTCGGATTTTACGGCCTTGTATACCGTGTGATGTCTTTAAAGTGTTTGTCATGGGATGTCCCGTCTCTGCAGTGCTCAGTGTCATGTGGCAACGGGACCCAGCAGAGGCAGGCTCTGTGCCACACCCGGGACAACACCATCGGCCTGTGTCTGGACAGTAAGCCCGACACCATCAGAGTCTGTCGCCTGGATCCATGTCCCAGTGAGTGATAAGGGGCCTCCAGTCTCTCAAATCTTTTTTTATTTACTCCCTATTGTCTTAATAACTTCCTTTTATTAAAATGTTAATTTTTTTGTCTTATCTGACATACCAACATTGTGCTCAGAGACAATAAATATCTCACAGTTTTAATAAGAAGGTCAGTGGAAAAAGAAGCAGTCAAAAAGTAAAACTTAACATATTGGGTGCTTGGATAACTTTTTTTGGTATTATTCTGGAATAGGTAGACAGGACCAGGCCCACATCTCAGTGTAGAAAGAGAAATCGGGGGCAAGCTCATTGCAGTAACTAAGGCGTGGCATCACTCTCTCCCTCTGTTTTTGTCTTTTTTTCCTCTGCAGAGGGCTCGTCTGACCTCAACAAAAACGGCAACATCCTGATCCAGTGGCTGTCCCGACCAAACCCCAACTTGGTCGGGAAGATCTCCTCACGTAAAACCTCCCTCTATAGTTCCCACCCTGGCCTCCACAGCGGCAGCCGCAGCTGCATGTTTGTCTTCTGCTGGGCCCTGCCCATTTCTTTCCTCCTGTCTCTGCAGGGTCGGCCCCGGCTGGCCCCCTGACCTTCCCCACGGCCCGTGCCTGTGCCCACGCCCGTGAGCAAGCGGCAAGGCTTTTGCTTCTCTTTGGGGAAGGGGGGGGGGGGTGGGTTGCCTCTCCCTCTTTGTGTCTGAAACGGCTCTGACTGGGGGGCAGGGGGGGGGTCTCTGGCTCCTATGTGTGCTGGTTGGTTCTCTCTGTCTCTCTCTATCTCTCTCTCCTTTGTGGAGCATTGTGTTGTAACCGCTGGCCAGTCGAAAACTCAAAAGATCAACAAAAAATTTGATGTGAAAAGGATTCGAAGTGGCGAGGCGAAAACAGGTTTTCACGGGCGCCTCCCGAGACGTGTCGAGGAGCCGTTCGCTTGTGAGGGGACCCACTCTGCATTTGGCGGCCACGTTTTGCGCGAGCTAGCTGCGTGTTGTCATGGGTTACCACTCCTGAGATGCAGCTGTGCTTTTTTTCTTTTTCTAGCGCACTGTCATTTTGGGGAGAAACAGGTGTGAAAATAAACACAAAAGGTATATAAATATCTAAATGGAAAAAAAATGAAAAAGTATATATGAAAGCTTTATTGTGAATGTGATATTGTCACAATGAGGACATCTTTGCTAAAGTGCTCATCTGACATACTGGTTCCATTCGAGGATGAGAATGGCGTCTCATTCTACGTTCCATTCTCAGATTGGCAGGAATTCAGCACAGGGACAGGAAGTGACATAAGTAAAGCTTCTGATTTGGAGGGAGGGAACTTTGAGGTGAAGGATCTTGAAGAAAGGCTCATTTTAAAAAAACACACACACAAAAAAAAAACAGGGTAGTCTGACCGCTTGAGGTTGCTTCCCATTTCACCTCATCATCAGCCATCCTCTCTTTGACTGTTATACTAAAGTTCAATAAATGCAGCTTATTTGTGCTTGCAGACTTTAAACAAATACATCTATAAATATATTTGTATTTATATATACCTATAAATCTAAATCTATATGAGTAACAATAACATTAATAACGTTTTACCATAAATAAGCTGTAGCTTATTTGCCTAAAACCTTTGGACTGCTATTGATCGCTTAGATCCTTGACTGTTATGTGTATTTTTTTTATTGATTTTACATAAATACAGATAAATATTTAATAAAGGTAAAGTTTTTTGGGGAGGGGATCGGGGGGGGGGGGGGGGGGTTAGATCTATATTATGCAGGACATGGTCGGTTAGTTGCCTCTCCATTCTCTCAAATGGGTCAGTGGTTTACTGTCACTTCTTGTTTTCTTTAACGATAGGATCCCGTTTCGTCATGCACATTTGCATCCATCACATAAATGCATGTGCGTGTGTGTGTGTGTTGGTGCATCTGGGTGTTTCGCGTGTGTCCGTGTGCATAGGCGCATTTGTCTGTCTTGTGTTCAGGCGAGTGAGTTAGCGAGTGTCTGATCGAATGAGAAATGTGAGTCATGTCGCTCCAAGTGTGTCTGTCCGACTGTGTTTGTGTGTGTAAGGAAGCTTCATCATTCGGGCTTTTACACATTGCGATCAGATACAGAAATACCTCATAAACTTTGATTTGAGAGCGTCCGATGATCATTTTATGTTGATGAACATTAACCACATGAACAATGCCTTATCTTGGATTGAATGTAATGGCATTTATCTGTGAAAGAGATGGTTTTACTCACTCAACGTTTCACTCGGAAGAGAGGCAGCTTCAAAGCAACTTAACAAACTCACGCCCGCCAACCATCAAACCTACCAAGCTGATGTTGGACCAATGTCCAGCAACTGGAGAGGGTTTACAAAGGGCCCAGGGTATCGACACATACGGCATCTAGAGAAAAAAACAAAAACACTTCAGACTTGTCATTGTATTGTGATCACTTATTTCTGTTGTGACTATGTAGCGAGCTATCCAAGGTTTCCTTCTGCTGGAGTTGGACTGTATGACACCAAGCCAGACCTAGCAGTGCGACTGTATATAACATTGGTGTTGACTGTATTTAATAATGTTCATGACTGTTATCTTCTTCTATAATATTCTATACTATGGGTAACTGTTTTGTGGCTTCACTGGCCTGCTGCGTGGGGCTGGCTAACGTTTGGCTAACGTTGAAGAAACATTCAGATGGACTACGTGCACTGCGTCTATATGCACTTTGATTTATCAGGGAAATTTTATTAATGTTTTGTAAATGTTTCATATGACACTTAATGTGCCATTCCAGTTTTTACATCATCATGGAAATTATGTAATTCATTTCAAAAGGAAATATAATTTCTGTACCTCATGTTTGTTTTTTTTCAATCGATAAACAGATTGATTGGTTGATTTCCAAGTAATGAAGTGTTTTACCAAAGTGACTGTGAACTTGTAACTTTCGATACAGTTGAATTATTTTTCTTAAGAAAAGACTATATCTATATATTGAGCAGGGGGGGGCGTACATCTCATTGTTTTAGTTACTGTCATTCAACAGCAAAGTTGTATCAATAAAAATGTTTTGAGAAGTGTGATCTTTCTCTCACCAGGAATGTTCACTGGCTAGTTCCTTTTCAGGGAAAATGTCAAACGTTGCCAGTAAACACAGGTATTTTACTGGCATGGTACGAAAAGGGTCAAGTGGTATACGGTTTGAAATTCAAACAACTGAGAAATGATCAACATTTGAAAGACTCAAACCTCAGTTATATTTAGAGCACTAGACTGCCAACCCTTCTTTTCCCATTTCAGTTGCTCTGGACTAATCTCATGACTGCTCTTGATGTTTGGGTGTTTCTCTTCCTTTCCGCATCATCTGCTAATGGTCTGGCTTTTCTACTGTTCTCTGCATGGTGTGGAACCGACACACACAAACACTCACACGTATGCATGTACTTTTTTATATTTACAGACATACACACAAGACTAATGTAATATACTAATTGTTGCACATTGCAGATGCAGAGACACCTTTCATACATAACACTCACTTCTTCATAGTCTCCACGCTGGCTGCACCCAGTCTCAGCTCTCTATTCTCTCCTCCACAGGCCGTCGTTGTCATGGAGACCGCTCTGTGTTATGTCGTATGGAGGTGCTGAAGCGCTACTGCTCTCTACCGGAGTATCAGCGCATGTGCTGCAAGTCCTGCAGCAACGTCACCATCACAAGGCCTCCACCCAACTCCACATCAACGTCCATCCTGCCAAGTGCTTCTCCATCCACCCTCAGCTCAGGTGCCACCATCCAACCCACCGGAGCTTTCATCTCCACCAGTTCAGCTTTCAACACCAATTCGTGGACCACAGTTCATCGTCCCCCTACTTCTACCACAGCTGTTCCTCATTGCGCTCTTTCTACACAAATGATCACCACTCCTCCTCCCCCAACCACCAGTGCTCCAGTCCTCCCCACTATGTTTTCTAAGGCAACAACCTCAGTGATCCCATCTTCTCCCAGTGTTACTAGTCATTCCCCAGCTTTGCCTGTCCCAGAACTAGAAGTGAACACAGATCCACAGTTTCAGAGCACTACAAATGGTCCAGCAACATCTGTTACACCTGCTATACACCCTCCAGCAACAACCGGTCCAACTATGACAGATGCAACGGAAACAGACCCACAAATAAAATCCAAGCCCAAAAAGATAATGCCGAAGAACAAGCCCAAAAAGGTGGTTCCACCAAAGTTCAATCCAAAAGTGAGTACTCAACTCAAAAATACTACTAGAAAAGATGTGTCACCAAAGATCAATCCCAAAAAGAATAAAAGTGATATTTCAAAAAAGAATATCCCATGGATCAGCCAACCCCCCAAAAGTAAACCAGGAACAACAATTCCCAAAAAAACTACTACGGCAAACACTGCTCCCAAAAAATGTACTCCCAAACAGCCTACTTCCAAAAAGACAACATCCAAACAGCCTGTTCAAAAAAAGAATACTCCACCAAACCCTACGCCCAAAAAGACTTCTCCTCCAAACAAGAGTACTAATACACCAAACAATACTTTGACAAATACTACTCAATCAAACAGTACTCCCTCAAAGAATACTCCCAAAAAGACTCCCTCTGTGAAGACCAACCTCAAAAAGACTCCTGCAGGGAAGAAGACTCCTGGGAAAATACACAAACCCAAACTTAAAAAGACTCCACCAAAAGCCAAATCCCCCCAAAACATTCAGCCAAAGACAAAAGTTACAAAAAAAAAAGAAACCAAGACAAATCCTATAAAGACCCCAAAAGTAGGTCACAAAAATGCCACACATACTCAGGCCAAGGTTTATCAGAATAAGACTAAGAGCAATCCAAAAAAGGCCATACTAAAAACAATGCCTGCGTATTACACCACAGCCCCTACAGCGAGTCCACAACATCTGACCGAATACGTTTCCTCCACTGTCTCATCCAGCACCAGTGTCTATGGAACACCTGCAGGCATCCCTGTGCCTGAGTCAACAATCAATGTTACTTATGTCAATAACAAAAGAGCATTTGTAGATGAAACTCCACTGTGGCATCCTGACACGTCAACGACATCACCCAGCTCCTTCGATGACTTGGTAACTCAGACTGGAACCCCTCGTTTTGAAGAAGTCAACATTCCTAGTGGAACCCTGCCATATAGTGATATCCCATTAACCAGCAGCGGTGACGTAACATCAACTAGCGGAATCATTCTCAGTGATTATGACATCACAGTGTCCTACAGCAACATTGGAGGGGTCAGTGACACCGTGGTGCTGGACGACGGGTTCACCATGTTGATCCCAACTATCAATAGTGAAGATATGACGGACCTGGTTTCCTCGCCATGGATGGATCTGTCTGACTATATTCCTGTGACCATCCCTGTCCCCACAACGCCCTCGGACCCAGCGTCCCCTGCGACCACAACTGCCCGGACACCAGACAAATCGGCCATCACAAGCCCACGGCGAAAACCAGAGGAGAACGGCGATAGCAACTCCATCGACGTCATTTACCACAGGATCGTTGGCGTAGACAACGACGTCTCCCAGAACAATCTGATCCCAAAGCGTCGGATCAACCTCCGAGAGAGAACCAAGAACAAACGCATTCAGGAGCTTCTGGAAGAGAAGAGGAATTTTCTCCTGCGGATGAAGAGAGGCCATGCAGCATGATAGACCGCGCCTTCTCATTTCTCTTATAGAGATGAATATTTCCTTTACAGACTTTTTCAAACCCTCTGAACCGATGATGCTTTTACGACTAACGTGACAATCAGGACTATTGTACATCAAGCATATCAGGAATCAGGAAACATTTATTGCCAAAATATGTTATACATACAAGGAATTTGACTTGGCGGTTGGTGATATTGTGGCCAAACGGTTGCTTTGAGTAAATAAAAGCGCAGATTGAAGTAGATTTGAAGCAATTTGCTGAGACTGTATCATCACAACAAAAATAAACATTCAGTACACAAACACGCACATCTAGTCTGCCAGTTTTGCCAGCACTACACAAATCGAAGCTTTCATCCCTCCAAACCACCCCACAGTCACAGATTCCTCCCTGATGTGAAGATTTTCCTCACAAATAGCTTCAGCTCATTCCCTATTGATATGTCTTGATTTGTATTTTGGTGTAATTGAACTGTGCAAAGTTGACACTGCTTGGATTGTGTTACCTTTTCCAAAGCAAAAGCCAGTCTGACTATGAGGGGTCTCTCATCTCTCAGGAAGTAAAGATGCAGCATGTTGAGAGACATAACAAAACATTTGATAATATATTTTGATATCTCATGCAAGGTGGAAAAACAAGTTAAAAAAGAGCTACATTAATTGCATTTTTTCTTTTTCCTTTGTTTACAGTCAGTATAGTATGGTGCTTTGTTTGTCAGTGTTGCTAAAAGTCATGTTCCTTGTGCATTTATTCATGTAAAACAAATTATAATAAAATAAACAAGCCTGTTTGTATTAAGTGTATCCAAATAGAAACTTTGGGGCCAATTCCTTTTTTTTTAAGTCGTATTATTGGTACATCTCAACCTTGCAGCAGCTGCAAAAGCATCCATGGATCTTTCTGTACGATATCTGTACATATGAAAAAGAATTAAATGTTTAATATTTATTAAAGTTTAAGTGCCTATGGTATTTTGCAAACTCTTGCGTTGTGTGCTTTTCCTTCCAGTAACAGTTATCATGCTTCTCCTCTTAATCTTTTTGGATGCAGCCATTATTTTGAACAAAGCTTGAGCCTGTAAGCTGCACTGCTGCATCTGTTTTGGGCTTCAGGGGAGTGTTTACTTGCCTCCTTCAGAGAGTTACGGAAGCAGCCAGTTGACAGAGTGATAATGAAATGGGAGCGAAACGAAAGTCAGGAGCAGTAGGCTGGAAAAGTTGGGAATACGGGATATCTAGAAAAACTTGAGCAGATCAAACCGAATAAACAAACAACAAAACAAGAATTCCTGTTTACATCTGTCATAAGCTTAAAAGTTATTTTGTGGTTTTATTCCTGTTCCACAGTCCACCTCTGGCCTCTGGCTACACCTTGTTACACACAATGTAATCCTACCAACTGGGTTGTCCCATACTTTCAACATATCTCACAGGTCACGTTTCATAAACTTCATATAACTAGTATTTTCAGAAGTATACATTTATTGGGACGTTGGTCTCCAGGGGAAAAGCACCACATTTTGCCCATTTGTTTTAATTCGATTATTGGCTTTTCTGTTGGGTTTCATGTTTCCTGTGGCTACACACTGCCCGTGTGTAGGGGAACTTCAGGGGCCAGTCATTTTTAAGGAAACACAAACCGCAGACAAGGGGTCTCATGTGCTTTTTATTTTGATCTATACATTTTTTATATGTTTTTTTACACAATCTTTTTAGTTTAATTGAATCTGACTAAAAAACACATTGCATTAATTTAAATAAAGACACAACACGTCACTCAAAGGAAACCCCTCTATGCCCTTCAGAGGACGACATATGCACATGTGTCCTCGTCCCACGGGTTCTACAATCCAAGCTTTTTAATGTATCCCTATTTTAATGTGTCCAACTCTCTCCGTATAGACGCTAAAGTTTTGATCAGCAAGATAAAGTAGATGCATTACATTATAATTAAGTTTATATATGTTTTTAAACCCACTGAACAAAATTAGAATGCAGCCTTAGAATATGAACTCTCCATAAACACAACCACGTGGTTGGTGTTCAGCTGAGAGCCAAGAAAAGAAACCATTTGTAATCTCTTTGATAAACCTGCTGACAAAATGTCCCTTTCAAACGAACACACAACAACACCGCACAGCAACTAGTACCAATTCTAGTGTGAGAGGATCGCAATCTTGCTTTGGTTTTCTCTTTCACAAATCCTGCTGTTTTATTGAAAGTTGAAAAACGTTTCAATGTTGTGTCGTGTTTGTCAGAATGCACATTGATCAACATGACAGTGTGTGTCTTGCGCTCAAACTCAGACATGGTGACTCGTCCTAAGAGACCCATGAATAGCCAGGAATCTTTTTATTGGTCGATGTAATTATGACACAACTCATGTGACCCTTTAGAGGTCACGCTGCCCCCGACACAAACACAAACACACACACACACACACACACACCCAATCATGGAACAGGAGCTTTCTCCTATCTGCCAGCAGCAGCTTGCTGACTGAATGGTTTGCTATATTTGTATTTTATTCAATGGTTTAGTAGTATTACTGTATCGAGTGCATTGTGACCTCTTGTTTTCCCACCTCCATAACTATCTTTTTAATTTGATTATAAATGTAACTCTATCAAATTAACCCCTGACCATGACTGAATCTCCCAAAATATAACATGCCGTCGAACAAATTGATGCCCCGTGAGAGGCATCATAAATTAAACAGTAATGAAGATAAAGCTGCCCAGTGTGTTTATGTAACCTCAAATTCTCAAAAATGTCTTCCTCTTCAAAGTGGTTTGAAAAGGAATCACCTTTAGCCTCGTCCCTTTCTCCCATCACCCTCATTTTTCTCTTCATGTTTTAGTCATCTCTCTCTCTCTCTCTCTCTCTCTCTCTCTCTCTCTCTCTCTCTCTCTCTCTCTCTCTCTCTTTACCTTCCACCTTTCTCTTTTTCTCCCTCCGTCAACACAATCGGCCAATGACAGTGCTCGTGCAAAGGAAGTGGATGGATGGTGAGTCTATTTTTAGAAACAGGGAAGGAGGGCAAACCTAAAGTAAGCTTGAGAGAGAGAGAGAGAGAGAGAAGTGGGATGTGAGGATAAGATAAATCTGCGTTGCTTCTGGGCAGAGACAGTTGCAGCGACAGAGAAGCAGCAGCACTGGATGGAGACACACCGCCGCAAATAAAAGCCATGTTCAGTTGAATATCACTGATAACTAAGCCGAGAAAAGAATAACACATCAACTGGACCAGACAAGGAAGAAGGTGAGTGGGAAAGCAAATTGTGCAAAAATAATCCTTGAATCATTTTTGAAAATGCGTGAGCTTACAACTACCACAGGGTGGCTACTCTGTGCCTCAGCACAGAGCTGCTGCCTTGCAACCGTTTTTAGCCGATGTACAGCCGAGGTGCAGTCTAAATATAGCAATGGTTACACCTCGGAGGAAACTGGGAGAGGCACGCATTTTAGTTGGGCTCACACTATTTCTGGCATCGCGGTTAAGACAGAAATACTCTGTGTGGGCTCAACTCAGGGTTGTAACAATATGCTGTTACTAAACACACTGTGTGGCTTGTGTCTCATGAATGAATTTTAATTTTTGAAAGAGTCGTCTATTCACGTTGCCTCTTTGCTTCTCTTTGCTGGGATTGTTTGTATTTTGTTTACGATGTCACTCCAGAGTGAGCAAGAGATTGAGTCTGAAACGGGGAAGAGGAGGAGATGAAGCCATATATTTAGATTTAAGTAGGAAAGGGACACAACTAATGGTTGTGTTTTTTGTCCAGATGATAACTCAGTTGTTATTTTGTTGGATGGATGGCACATGACGTGGTAACCTGAGCAGTGCTTTAAAGAAACCAAATCTGGCAGCCTCAGCCTTTAATATATCTGCAAATATGTTTTACATTGCAATTCAGCCTATCAAATTCAAACTCAAAATGTTCAGTGCATTTACCACCACCCTGCCTAAACTTCTCCGTTTGTGTCTCCCAGCTATGCGTCCACGCTCCAGACGGCTGTCCAAGAGACGACTCGTGCTGCCGACAATCAGAGAGGGCGCCGAGGAGTCGCTGAGGGATCTGAATGAGGCCAACGGGCTCCACGTCTCCTCGGAGGACTACCTCCTCTCCATCTGCCACCTGGCCAGCCCCACCTTCCCCGCCAGGCACACCTCCCCCGACGGCATCCACCCTCTGCAGCTGGAGGCGTTAAACCAGCGGCTGTCAAGGCTCGGTGATTCCACATCAGAGGCCAGCGACAGGCGGCAGGCCGAGGAGATCAACCCGAATGGCGAGCGGGAGTTTGGCAACTGTGACCCTCTGGAGTACCTCTACGGCCACCGGAGGGCCCCGCCGGGAGGCGTGAGGGGGGCGTTTGTCCCCCATGCCTCCACTCCAGACCTCCCACGCCAGCGCAAGAGCAGCTGCCCTGAGTTACACAGCAGCAGGAACACATGTGATCCGAGCCCCTCGCCGAGGCACAGCTTCCCCCGGTTGGAGGCCGGGAGAGAGAGGCCGCAGGAGGGGGAGAGACACAGTCCGGCCATCAAACCGTCCCTCATCGCCCGGTGGCTCTCTCACTGCAGGTCGGCGTGGAGGGAGGCGCGTGTCAGAGCTCGCATGCCGCCCGCCATCGCTAAGATGTAGGGCACAAATATACTTAAGACATTCCTCTGTGAAGTTTCCAATCTTTTTCGGTGCATGAGAGCTTGACATTGGGGGGTATTATGTGGATGTATTAAGGGAAATGATTAAATACACATTTGAAATTGAACAGATGCAAATGCATTGCCGCTGTAATGTTGTATGAGTGTATTGTATTAGTATTACAACACTTGATATATAAGCAAACTGACAAATCCACAAAAAAAAGTATTTTTTTACCTTCCTGTGTCTTATGAACATGTGAATAAATAAAACGTTGTTTTTGTACTCCCAATAATAATATAATATAACGAAAAAATACAAATCCGTGCAACGTACTCTGATTTCTTACACGTGTGTTACGCCCCAGTCTAGGGGTGCCTAAGGTGCAACATGGATAGGCCCCAATCTTCCCCATCTCCCAAGTAGCCACACACACTTTAAGTTTATATAGGGGATATTTATTTAAAAAAAGCTAGGTTGAGTAAAACCCGGTATGTTGGGGTAAAAACAAACCACGGCTTCGCCGTTGCCCATCCCCAATATAACAAACAAACCAAAAAACGATCCTAGCTAAAAATAAGACGCTGACCTACCAAAACAAAGGAGAAAAATAATGACATCAGTCTTACCTACCTAACTACTTTAAAACAGAAGAAAACCAACTCAAAAGAAAAATAGAATACTTATTAAGCTTCACGGTATGATACAAGTGGCTGGTTGGAAGAGGAGGAGGACGAGGGTTGTGTGCTGCTGCTGTTCTCCCCTGCTCTGGCCTGCTCTGCCTCAGACGGCATCTTTGCTTCCCTTATGTGCAGGCTGCAGCCAATCACAGGACGGGTAGGAGACCGTCCACCAATCCGCGCCTGGTTGTGAATGAAGGGAAAACAGAAAGACACAAAAGGAAACCCAAAAACACTAGACATATGACCCCAGTCATAACACGTGTGTGAATCTTGAACTCCCGTGTCGGCCCAGCTGGTGGCAGGCACTAGGGTTGCTATGGTAACTAGCCAGATCCTGATCCTTGCAAACACAAGTTTGGAGAATCACAGGCTGAGAAAAGATGTTGTTGTAGTGGTACATCTTTCTCGAATTTATGCAACGAACGCATAAAAGTTACTCATTCACATGCACATTCAATGCATTTGAGTTCAATCAGTATGAGTATTGTTTTGGTGTTGTGTAGGGTTTTGGTCAGGGGAGCAAATATCTGCTCTGATTAAAGGAAATTGTTTTTGTCTATCGGTTGAGATGGAAACATCCCAAAGCAGCCTTTGGATGTAGCTTTCCTTCTTTAACACTAGGGGGCAGGCCTGGCAAATATCCACGAGCCCTCACGGATTGAACGACCTCCAATCTTGTGCGCTACAAAATGCACATTTATTAGAAAAATGGACCACTAGAGGTCATGCCGACTTACTCTGTATTTAGGTCCAAGCTGAGGCGTTGGCGGTTTACTCAAATAGTTTAAAGAATCATTCTTGAGATGAGTCAACTCGCCCATTCATTTTGTAGCTTTAGTCAACCTTCCTTAAAATGTAGAAATGGTGCAACAGTTGTTGGGAAGACACGAACATTCAGTGTAGTTGTTCCCAAACACACCTTTAATGTGCAATCAGGGATTATGTTCAACAAGTGTTGGTCTGCTCACAGCTTGTCGGATTGTCGGGACCTTTGTGTGTCTTTGGGTTGTGTGACATTAGTGGAGCAACGTCAGCATGGCATGTGTTGTCTTAGATGAGTACAATGTTCATGTTCATCATAAGTGAGCTGACTTGATTTATATTATGTAAATAAAATGTGTTAAACGCTGTATGTATATTTATATACATATTTACATGTATACAAACGGGAAGAAACGCAGGGTAAGGAAAGAAACATGCTGATAGTTCAAGTAAGCACAGAAACAGCTTCATTGTGTCACAGGAAAACTGACTGGAAACTCTTGAAGACTCTTGTGGTCATATCGGCTCTCATGTCTCTTTTTCTCCTTTATTTTCACACTTAGCTCAGCACGTAGAAGACGAGAAGCACAACCTGTTTAAAAAAAGGTGTTAGTTTGCGAGTGAGAGATCTGCGGTCTGGGCCATTCGTTCATTTACTCATTTTCTTAGCCTGTGCATTATGTGACAATAAACATCCCAGATGTTTTCATTTGAACACCTGCAGGACACCCAGAAAGGTCATTTGATCCCATACTTTAACAAAAGCTCTTCATCTTTCCAACCCTCAGTCAGCATGAGTTGCCACACTGGACTCGTTCTCTCTGGATTTATGTTGCGCTTTAGATGAAATTTAGGTTACTTGTGTGAACATTTGGCAGGGTTTTGTAGATATTTTTTAAAAATATCACCAAAGCTGTCTACATATATCTCTATATATGAAAAAGACATTCTTTCAAATGTGTTGTATCAACTTACATAGCCAATAGGTCAACTAATAACAAGGACTCCCCCCGCCTCTCAGCCTCAAAACCCATGAACCGAAGACAAGTATGAAATCTTCAAGCATAGCACGCTATGTGCAGTCTGTCTTCAGAGGAGCAGAAACAAACTAGTGTGAGCCTGATAAATTAATCGCCAGTTAACATCCGAATATCTCAATATGACTCAATATAATGACATTTTCTGTGCTCACTTCTTTTGTGGTGGAAAAGCCCTTAACTTCCTTCATGCGCTCTCTTCTGTGCCAGTAGTTTTACGGAAGTTGCACTTGCAGACCATCTGACCACTACCGTTTCGTCTGAATTTTGTAGAAATTACTGGAAGTGCCTCACAGGGCTCCTTAACATCAGGGAAGACCCCTGTCTTAAATTAGCACAGATTGGATTTCTAAAGAATAAAAAAGAAAATCACTCTCCTTTTTTTCAGCAACCAAGATTATATATATTGTGTAATATATTCCTAGTGACTAACACTTCATTACTGCATCGTTAACCTAAAGTGTCTGTTTTGTGTTCCTTATTGCTCACATTATCCACTGGATTGTATTAAAAATGCATGTCACAATATGTCAAGGGTTGATTAGATTAAGATCATTAGATGATATGATGTCAGGGCCCTGCTTTTTGTCTTGATTGACTCTTTGTTGTCTTTATATTATTGATAATGGGATCTCTAACACGTTATTACAACTGGTAGGCCATCGCATTTATCAGGAAATCCATATTTCCAGTGTTGTTTTTTTTAGCTTAGTTCCATATTAGTTGTATAGTTTAGAAGAAAAGAGAAGGATATCAAAAGAAGGAAGGAAGCAGTGTACATCCTTTTCACCAAAAAGTGAGACTAACATTTAGACCATGCTCCACGCACAAATCAAGCATTTCCAAACCCTGTAGGAGTCATAAATGGCTGCGAGTGAGTGTTTCTCATAGTCTGGTCATACATAGCGTTATCGCGCCGTGAATGTTGTGTCACAACCCCAAGGCTACAGTAGAAGGAATGAAGTCATTTACTGCCCTCATGTTTGCTTTGATGGTGTTAACCACTGTTTGGAATCGTTATTTTTAATGGCCTTAAAAAATAAATACCTAAAATGACGAAAAAGATTATTAAACATTCATTTTCAAAGTGTATCTGCACGTAAAGATTTCCAATCAAAAATGTACACTTTTGTTCTATTTACATATCCTCATGAATGGTATCACTATATGCTTTTAAAAATCTAAAATCAAGTTAAATTTGCAACCACAGGCGATGACGAAATAAGTGAGTAGTCAGCAGGGTTTCATAATTTCACTTTCATGTCTCAAAAAGCCCCCTCACCACAGGAAGAGTGACGAGGTTGGTGTCTAATGAGATTATTTAAGAAGGCCCGTTGCCTCTATCCCTCACAGTTGTCTTTGACTCTTGTCAATCCCTCCAGCTGCACTTGTTCCAGCTCCTCTCATCACCTTCATCACAGCACCAGGGTCTTCTTCACCGAACCGAAAACCGACGATGTCCGGCATCATGAAAGTGTTTCTGCTCCTGGCTGTCATGTTCTGCATCTCCGAAGCCCAACGTAAGTTTTAATACTTCTTTAGCATTCACAACTTTAACACGGACAATGTTTGTTTTCTCTGTGATCCACTGAATAAATCATGTGATTCTTTTCTTTGTCTTTCACCAGTTGATCACACGTCAGGAAATCAGTGTCTGTGTGCAAATGTCCAGAGGGGAATTCAACGTGGGACTAAAATGAAGGACATCCAGATCCAGATCTACCCACCATCCGTCTTCTGTGACAAAGTGGAGATTGTGTAAGATGCACTAATGTTTAATTGCAATAAGGTGCTCTAATTATAAGAGAATAATCTATTATAATTTTCTGGGCTTATTGGAAGTAAACCTCTCACGCATATGTGATATGGTGGCTTTTCGGCGATTTTTATCCGTCACCTCTAGTTATCACTCTAAACGTCTGAATCATGTTAACATGTTTACCTCCACTGTCCTCTTCAACAGTGTCAACAACAACAACGGCCGTCGCTATTGCCTGAACCCCGAGTTGAAGCCGGTGCAAAGACTCATCGCTAGAATTATGTAAGTATTTTTACAGACATGAACGCAAGCCTGATCTTCAGAACACAGTGACCACGCAACTTCTAACATGAATCTCCATATTTGATAATAAATGACCCGATGGCCTCTCCTCACTGTTGTCATGTGTCTGATGTTCTTCTTCTTTGACATGTGTAGGAAACCGGCGCCCTCTACTGCGACCAGACCAACCGAGCTCAACTAAACCAGCAGCACGGCTCACATCTGAGTATTTACGTCCTCCGATCATTATGAGGCGCAGATGACCTCTGACCCCCACCAAACAAAGGCGCCTCAGACAAATTCCGATGTAGTCGTTTTTTTAATAGGAATGTGCTGTGAACCAAGTTTTATGTATTTTGTAAATGTCAGTGTTTTTGTACAAATAATAAAAGCCCAAGGGAATAAAAAGTGTGTGCTTTTCAGTGCTACATCAACAGTGCCACTTTGTGGTTTGGGGCGGCAATGCAAGAAATGCAGTTTATTTGTTCACTGACTTCACACAGAACTAAAAAGCCATGCATTGAATATCAGAGGGAGACTCTTTTTAAGGTGTCTCTTAAACACACAAGGACTTGTCAGGGATGCGGGGAAGGCAGGACTCACAGACAGACTTCGAGCAACAAAAAGACTTTAATAGTCAAAGATGCAGGAAACAAAAGGCCAAGGGGCAAAAACACACACAGGAACTGGGGCAAAAAGGCAGGCAGGAACTAGGACATTCAGGACAATAGACAATGACGCGACAAGTGACAAGAGACACACACTGCTTAAATACACTATGGAGGTGCAGGTGATGGGACACAGGTGGATACAATCAGACAATCACAGGGTATGACAGGACAAGGCAGGAAGTGGAGTTACCCAGGGAGACAAGAAGCAGAAACTACAAAATAAGACAGGAAATTAACCACACTGTGACAGTACTCCTACTAATACTATATGTATGAGATAACAGAGGACACCAAAGCTGCAGAGATCCTACGATTACAGGGTAATCCGTTTATTTCATGTTTTAGTTAATTTCCAGATTTAGATTAATAATCAAAGATGTCAATTTCAATCAAGGAGAGCATAGGAAGAATATTACAAGCTACGGGTGGCCTATATAAATAACTACAAAAACAAAACAAAACCGTTCCCACATGTAACAGCTGTAATATAAAAGTCAATGTGCACAGTAAGGATCATAACTCATTAAGATTCTTCTGCACAGACCTTTCTGCTGGTATTTTAACACTTTAATATAATATATTTAATATTATCATACTTTTACAATCGTCACCGTTATAGGTTGAGAGTAACACCTGAATGATTCTCCCCCACTGCTCGTTGGTATTGTTTAATAGGCCTTTTCACCAGAAGTTGTCTACTTTCTTATGCCCTCGCGTTGCCTCACACGTCCTTCCGAACAGGAGCCCTGCGGCGCTTCTGCAGGTAGAAGAGGGGGAGGCGAGCCATGTCACCTGCAGGGAGACGACGAAGGTACATATAATCAACAAATGATGTTGTTGGATTATACATCTAAGATAAATCTGCATAGATTAATATATGTTGTAGAATTAAATATAACTCTGTAGCTCCACATTCAATTGCATCACGAGTGGATTTACTTGATTGCTTAACTGAAAAAATAAAAACATAAAGACTTAAAGACTTAAGACTTAACATAAAGACTATAAAGACGCCACTACAAGTAAAAATCCTGCGTTCCAAAAATTAAAGTGAAATTACAGTTCAAAGGTGTTGGCAAAGAAACTAATAAAAGTACTTATTATACAGAATGGCCCGTCACTCTCGTACTCTATGAGACTGTGTTGTATGCATTAACATCAACATCACTATTATGATGCATTTGGTTATAGCAGTCTTATTTAACAGTTCGTAAATTCTCACTATGTTATTTGTGTTTGAAATATTTAACTAAGACACAAAACTCATTACGGCCTCAGTTTCTATTTGAATAACTCTCTTACTACACAGATTTCCAGAGAACAGTCCCATAATTATGAATGATAATATATTGCATTCACACCTACATTTTTAAAATGTCCCTATTATGATGGCTATTATAGTGGCTTTTTTTCTTAGTGCTCGTTTGGCTACACTAATTTATTTAGAATAAAAATGAAGCTCTACACCTCCTCCTGCTGGACAAATTATGCCATAGTATTGTGATGCCAACTTCATAGGAATTACATGCTGCCGATGATTTTCACTTATTTTGAAGAAAGAAGAGTTAATGACACGCAGCGACAAGCAGAACACGGCTCATCAGATACAATCTGGGGTCAAATACGTCGGGAGGGTTAAAGTGCGAGAGAGAGGAGAGGGAGAGTCGTGTGAAAGCACTTGTTTCTGTTTGTGTTCAAGTATCACATTAACATGTTATTATCAGAAATAAATGAACATTAACGTCTCTGTTGGTGTTATTTTCTCTTTATTATATTCACACTGTGAAACATGTTGGGAATATGAATCACATTTACTGGCATAATCCCATCGGTGACCAGTCACTGCACCACATGTTCTTTCAAATAACAGTCATTTATTAACATCAAACCCAAACAATTATATTCCTGTTAATCCACATGGAGGGACTAAAAGTTGCATTATTATATTATATTATATATTATTACATAACACACATTCTTGTTCAGAACAAACCTGATTATGTGAAATTAGATTTCATATTATATTTGAACACATTTAGAAAGATTTGAAGTTAAAAAAGACTTACACATTCATATTGTCCCTATTTTCATCCCTACAAACAATCCTGGAAAAAGCATTACCTTGCTTTTATTAGCATGGGCGCTAATGAATAACACACACAAATGAGGACAGTTTATCATACAGACGTATTTGTCTTATATGGGGGGGGTTATTCTAAAATATCTTCAACAACATCATGATTATGATTATTTCCAATTAAGGACAATATATTAATGATAATGTATTGATTCATCCACAGAGGCAACAAGCACAGCAACATTAAAACACACCTTGCTGAGCTCTTTCAGACTTTTGCAACACCACAAGTCCCAGAGAGCTCTGGACCCCCCAGAGTCCAGACCAGCTCAGGTACCCCTCACCTGCTCCACCTGCATCTACATCCACATGAACCAACATCCGCTGTGTGATATCCTGTGCAGACTGAACTATGTGGTGAGCAGAGAGGAAGGTTCTCCATCAGGAGGAGACTCTCCCTCCTACAGAGAACACAGAGACGCTGAGGACCCGGAACCAGAATCAGAAGAGGACATGAAGTCAAACCCAGGATAAAGAGGTTCAGTGAATGTGGTGTTGAAGGCGTGGAGGTGGATCAGTGTGTCAGAGGAGATTCTGTAGAAGGACAGAGAGCCAGCAGGACAGTCCACATACACTGCTACCCTACCAGAGGAGGAGGAGGAAGAAGAGCAGGAAGGGATGGATGTTGTTCTCTTATTGTGACAGACATAGTAACCTTTATGAGAGCATCCCAGACTCCACGACTGATCATTCATTCCAAACAAACAGTCTCTACTGTCTCCTTTTCTCCTGATTCCTCTGTAACTCACTGATACATTAACTCTTCCGCTCCACTCGACCTCCCAGTAACAGCGACCAGTCAGACCAGTTCTACACAGCAGCTGAGGCAAGGAGTCAAATCTGTCTGGATGATCAGGATATGACTGAAACTCTGTCTCATGTGTCACCTTCCTGTTGTTGTCAGAGAGTTTGAGTCTTGGGTTTACTGTGTTTGTGTCGATTGTGAGTTCACAGGAATCTGATGAGAGAACAAGACACAATACAGCTGCAGTTATTAATCATGTGTTCATCTAACACTTGGCATGATGACATGCCAGAGGTGGATGGGTGATGTCACAGTGTGAAGATGGTTGAATCTTCATGAATCAAACACACTTACACTTCTTCACACCTGGTCTGTACCATCGGGGTCCAGCAGGCTCCACCCTGAAAGGCGGAGGGAGGGTCAGAGCAGCATGGAGACATAGACATTACATCATTCTCATACGCACAGCTTTGTTATTCATGTTGACATGGACCACCTCTTCTTATTCTACTGCAGTGGAGCTTCTTCTGATTGGCCTATGACCACAGCTTATTATGGTCACTTATTCATCATCTGTTATTATCAGTAATATACTGACCATCATCTTCCGTTTCACACTCAGTTTCCTTCAGCAGTCAGTCAGTGAATCAAATGTTTAAACCTGCATCAAGTGGTTTCTTTGTCCACTTGTGGTTCAGTGAGAGCTGTAAACACAGCATGTGGCATGTGATCATCTTCTATATCTGTGTTTCCAGCTGCTAAATGCTCCTCTATGTTCCCCAGCCGGTCTCTGACTCAGTGTGTCTGCTGTTTACTGAAATCACTACAGCACCACGAAATAGGGGAGCAACGGATTACAATCCTCACGGTTCTGTTCGGATCACAGATCATTAGTCACGGTTCAGATCATTGTTTGGATCGGCCAATAACTGGGGAGAAGTCAAATATAAGTGTGCTTTCCATTTATTAAGTGAATAAGTTCAGAACATCTAAAGTGAAATAACGGTTGTTAATAGTTAAATACTTCTGACCCACTTTGTTCACTTGAACACACTACTGCTTTGTATCTGTTTTGACATGTTAAATTAATAATCAGGGTAGGATTGTCAAGGTATAAAAATTATGACTTCATACAATACATTACATTACATTACAGGTTATTTAGCTGACGCTTTTATCCAAAGCAACTAACATTTTATTCGTAACCCATGGCTTTTTTTTTTTGTACAATTTGCCTGGGGAGCAATTAGGGGTTAGGTGTCTTGCTCAGGGACACTGTAATAGTAATAAATAAAACATCTGTATGTTTCCCTTTTTACCAGCTTGTTTCTACCCAGCTTTTAGAACACTAATATTAGTATTAGCCTTCAGCAAAATATAAATCTAAAGTACATGATGCCATCATAGCATTCATCCACGGCTATGTAACGTAGCCAAAGTACTTCCACATTTCACTCATCTTTTTTCCCCAACAAGCTGAGGTTGGTGTCAAGAGGTCGTACAGGTGAAGCCATGTCTCCCCTGCAATCCCTTTGCTGTGAGTGTGCACTGGGAAGCCCCTCCTCCTGTCAATCAATGCATGCAGGCAGCATGACAGGGAGTGGAGCAGTGAGCTTGCTTTGATCATGCGCTGTGTTAATGAAGTATCTATCTATCTAATTTTAGTATTGATACACCGTGCAACATTATATTTCACAGACGTGTACTATAAAAGGAAAATCAGCAGTAAAACTGTATTACACACTACGATGACTACACTATCAAAAAACACTCCTTGATCCGCGGTTCACAAGTGATCCGAAGGGACCTCGGAGGGTCTGACTGTGACACCGCTGTTCACATTCCGTCTCTTAGCAACAGTCAACAGTGGCTTCTATCCCCTGTAGTCTGCAGGTGAAGATGTTACAGCTCAGGTGGATCTGCAGCCACAGAGCTTTGGTCCAGTCCTAAACAAAACTCTTTGGGCTCTGTAGTTCCAACAAGTCCATCTTCCCTGGAACTGGCTCTCATGCTCTCTTAAAACCAGGTGAAGCTCAACTCCTTTAAAACACCAAACATTCCTACAGTAATGATCCATCAGGATGGTTTGAACAGATTGATTCTTTGACCTTTTGTCTTTTAATAATAATGTCTGGACTAAAGGACAACACACAGTTGAGACACCATTCAACATTCAAGTGTGGTTTGGTAAAAGCCTGCAGCATGACGACGTTGACTCATATCAACCCACCATGATGCCCGTCAACCTGTCAGGATACACCACTGTTCTCTCTTATAACGTGGAAACAAGACATGGCTCAAGAGAAACAAGACTTTCATCATCTTCCTCCCTGTTAGGCTACTGTTCCCTCATTACTTCTGTCTGTATTGATGGTCTGATGTTGGACACAAACCGTTTGATGAGTCTCTGGTACTTTGAGGTCAGCATGGTGTGTCTGGGTCATAATAACCAGGCTCACAGTGTGAGAGAAAATATTTTCAGCTCTACCTCCTCTACCAGGCTGCATGTCTGTGGTCAACGTGATCTCCAAAACCTGTTCATAAAAATGTATACGAAAATCTTGAACATACAAATTCGTAACAATACATACGAACTGGCGGTGGTTAACCACGCCCCTTGAATGAACAACATGGCGGACCATGTCGGATTCTTAAGTGAACGTCTCTCCGCCATGTTGGGTTTTTTGAGGGGGTTAGGGTTAGTATTCTATTCTTACAATTTAACATTTATTTCTCGTTAAAAATGCAATCATAACACCTTTATTTTACATTGTTAGACTTCACGAAGTGTGTTTACGGGGAGCAGGTCCCCATTCACTTTGAATAGGGTGACGTCATGAGTTGCAGTCCGTATTTATTTAGTATGTATCACTACGAATTTGTATGTTCAAGATTTTCGTATACATTTTTACGAACAGGTTTTGGAGATCAGGCTGCTGTGGCTGCTGCAGGCCTCTTCATACCTGAGAGTCTCAAGTTTCCAGTGTGGATCCTCCAGTCCAGCAAACAACAGCTTCACAACTAAGTCTCCTGGATGGTTGTAGCTCAGGTCCAGCTCTCTTAGATGGGAGGGATTGGAGCTCAGAGCCGAGGCCAGAGAAGCACAGCCTTCCTCTGTGATTAGACAGCCTGACAGCCTGCAAACACACAAAACAACACACACTGTGGGCTACTGAGGGCTCACATTAACATTGTTACTGACTGGTTTGCAGTCACAACAAAACACCCACTAATGTCTATCAACAATATGATGACATTACTGATAACTCTATTATTAATCTCAAATGTTTAGATCTGTATCATTATATGTAAAATAAACTCTGCAACAGATGGTTATGGAAATATTTTTAGGAAAAAAATTGATCATGCAAGCAGAATAATCTTATGAAGGTCAGAAATGTACCATTGATGTAAATAAAGACATCAAGCAACATTAATTAAATCCTGACCTGAGAGTCTCCAGTTCACAGTGTGGACTCTCCAGCCGAGCAGAAAGCAGCTTCACTCCTGAATCCTGCAGGTCGTTGTTACTCAGATCCAGTTCTCTCAGACTAGAGGACTGCGAGCTGAGAACTGAGGACAGAGCTTCACAGCTGCTCTCTGAGAGGTTACAGACACTCAGTCTGAAGAGACAACCGTCAACAAGAAGAAAATAACATTTGTGTTCAAATTAAATCTTATTTGATGATGAGTTTGGACTAAAACATATTCCGTAAAAGAAAACAATTGTTCTACATCAACAATCTAATAACATTACTCCTAAGTATGATTAGTCTCCAATATTTCTATTTCTAACATTAGAATTAAAATAAACTATATGTTTATGGAAATATTTGGAAAATACATATTTGATTTAAATCATGCAAGCAGAAAGAATCTTATGAAGAACTGAATTGTACCATTGATGTAAATAAAGACATCAAGTGAACATTGATTGAATCCTGACCTGAGAGACTCCAGGTCACAGTGTGGACTCTCCAGTCCAGCAGACAACAATTTCACTCCTGAATCCTGCAGGTCGTTGTTACTCAGATCCAGCTCTCTGAGACTGGAGGATTGGGAGCTGAGGACTGAGGACAAAGCTTCACAACTTCCCTTTGAGAGGTTACAGCGGTCCAGTCTAAAGAGATAGGGATGAAGAAAAAGCAATAAGAATACAATATGTCAGGATATTGTGGTTATGGTGTAAAAATCTCACTTACACAGCTTTGTTGGAGGCTTTGACTACTGGCAGCAGCCTCAGAAGAGCCTTCCCGGAAGCAAAGTATTTCTTCAGGTCAAATACCTCCAGATCTTCTGATGACAGTAAGATGAAGACCAGAGCTGACCACTGAGCAGGAGACAGTTCATCTGTGGAGAGACGTCCTGATCTGAGGGTTCGTTGGATCACCTCCACGAGAGAATCATCTTTCAGTTCCTTCAGACAGTGGAGCAGATTGATACTTTTCTCTGGAGACATATTCGCAGTGATCTTCTCCTTGATGTACTGGACTGTTTCCTGATTGGTCCGTGAGTGACTTCCTGTCTGTGTCAGTAGACCTTGTAGGAGAGTCTGATTGGCCTCAAGTGAAAAACCCAGGAGGAAGCGGAGGAACAAGTCCAGGTATCCATTAGCAGTCTTTAAGGCTGCGTCCACAGCACTCCGGTATAGACGCATTGGTTGAGGATTTTCTTTAAAGACTTTAGACAATAGCCAGGTTGTTTGTTTTCCTGACAGCAGATTGACACTAGTGCTGAAGAAGGTCAGATGGACATGAAGAGCAGCCAGGAACTCCTGAACACTCAGATGGACGAAGCAGAACACCTTGTCTTGGTACAGTCCGCTCTCTTCTCTAAAGATCTGAGTGAACACTCCTGAGAACACTGAGGCTGCTCTGATATTGATGCCACACTCTGTCAGGTCGGATTCATAGAAGATAAGGTGGCCTTTCTGCAGCTGATCAAAGGCCAGTTTTCCTAGAGACTTGATCATCTCCCTGGTCTCTGGACTCCAGGGTGGATCCGTCTCAGCTCCTCCATCGTACTTGACCATCTTCACTTTTAACTGAACAACCAGGAAGTGGATGTACATCTCAGTCAGGGTCTTGGGCAGCTCTCCTCTCTCTCTGGTCCTCAACACCTCCTCCAGAACTGTAGCAGTGATCCAGCAGAAGACTGGGATGTGGCACATGATGTGGAGGCTTCGTGAGGTCTTGATGTGAGACATGATCCTGCCGGCCTGCTGCTCATCTCTGAACCTCTTCCTAAAGTACTGCTCCTTCTGGAGGTCGGTGAACCCTCTGACCTCTGTCACCATGACAGCACACTCTGCAGGGATCTGATTGGCTGCTGCAGGTCGTGTGGTTATCCAGAGGCGAGCAGAGGGAAGCAGCTTCCCTCGGATGAGATTTGTGAGGAGCACATCCACTGAGGCAGACACTGTGACATCAGTCAGGATCTCGTTGTTGTGGAAGTCCAGAGGAGGTCGACACTCATCCAGACCGTCAAAGATGAACACAACCTGGAACTCTTCAAACCTGCAGATTTCTGCTGCTCTGATTTCACTAAAGAAGTGATGAACAAGTCCCACCAAGCTGTACTTTTTCTCTCTCAGCACATTCAGCTCTCTGAAGGTGAATGGAAATGTGAACTGTATGTCCTGGTTGTATTTGTCTTCAGCCCAGTCCAGAGTGAACTTCTGTGTTAAGACTGTTTTCCCAATGCCAGCCACTCCCTTAGTCATCACTGTTCTGATTCGTTCCTCTCCTCCAGCTGAGGCTTTGAAGAGGTTGTCTAGTCTGATGGTCGTTTCTGGTCTGGCTGGTTTCCAGGATGCTGTTTCAATCTGTCTGACCTCATGTTCTTCATTGACCTCTGCCGGCCCACCCTTTGTGATGTAGAGCTCTGTGTAGATCTCATTCAGAAGGGTTGAGTTTCCTGTTTTAGGGATCCCCTCAAACACACACTGGAACTTCTTCTTCAGGTTGGATTTGAGTTCCCTCTGACAAACTGCACTAAGAAGTTCTGAATGAAGACAACAAAGAAGATACATGAGTCAAATAATAGATTTCAACATTCCTCAGAGAATGACTCCATGAATATATTCTGTTCACTCTTGAGACATAAGTGACGGTCTCATTCATCAGCATGGTAAGTCTTTAGAGGAATCCTCTTACTGCTCTGCAGACGGGCAGCCAGCTCCTCCTGCTTCATTCTCCTCAGGAAGTGCACTGAGATCTTCAGAAATGCCTCTCTGCTGCTCCTCTGCTCTTCATCCAAAACCTCCTCATCCTCCTTCTCTAAGAATTCTGGGTAATCTGTACTCACAACCTTCTGGATTTTCTTCAGCTCGTTCTTCACAAAAGTGAGGACGTTCTTCTCCAGTAGCTGGAACAGAACATTCTATGAATAACACAAACTAAATAATGGAAGCCACCATCAGGTCCATGTTGGACAGACGGACAATCCACTGGTCTAGAAAGTGCAGCATGAAGATGATGGTGAACTGATGATGATAAGATGTAAAAGTAATTGTACATGCGCACACCATGAATATGGAGTCCAGGTGTGTTTGATGTTGCTGTGCAGACTGATCTGTGGGAACCTCTGAGCTCTCCTGTTCCTCTCTGTGGAGGAACATGAACCATCAGCTCACATGATGTTTGTACCAGCAACACTAATACAACGTTAGTTAAAGATATTGGCTTTTCTCATGATTGATCGTAAAAACCAGACGCTGAAGACTGTCGATGATGGATAGATGGATGTAACTCCGTTTCTGACCACTTCTTCATCCCCTACTCTCTTCCGCTCTCTCTAATTAACGACCCCACCCCATCAACTGACTCTGTGACTGTTCGTCGCAACATTCGCTCCCTCTTTCCCTCCTCTCTGGCCTCCTCTATTCTATCAGCTCTCCCCTCTGACTCTTTCTCACTCTACATTCGCACGCTGTCGCAGAGACTCTCCTCTCAACACTGTCCTCCTCCTCCTCCTCTCTCTCTCTCTCTCTCTCTCTCTCTCTCTCTCTCTCTCTCTCTCTCTCACTCTCACAAATCCCCTCCCACTCTGTGGTTGTCTGAACCGATGAGCGCTGAGAGAGCCGCTATGCAAGCATCGGAAAGGAAATGGCAACCTGACTTAAAGAGATGGTTGTGCATCCTTTTCTCATCCTTGATGGCCGCACTTACCAGGTAACTTGGAGAGGATCTGTGTTGGAACCTTGTCCTCTTACTACCAGAGTTCCTCAAGGTTCCGTCCTGGGTCACCTCCTCTTCTCTCTACACCAACTCTCTCAGCTCTGTCATTCGCTCTCAATGCTTCGCCTACAACAGCTATGCCGATGACACCCAACTAATTCTCTCCTTCCCTCACTCGGACACCCAAGTGGCAGCACGGATCTCTGCCCGTCTGAATGACATCTATCAGTGGATGTCCGCTTACCATCGGAAAATCAACCCTGACAACTACTTTTCTTTCCGGAAAAATATTCTCCCACACAGGACCTGACTGTAAACTTTGGCAACTGACAGACCCACAGACTTTACATCTTCCGCCGCAAACTAAAGACACACCTCTTCAGACTATACCTTGGCTAAACACACTAAACAAACTGTAGCACTTAGGATCAGGATCAGGATCAGGAAACATTTATTAGCCAAAATATGTCAAACATACAAGGAATTTGTCTTGGCGGTTAGTGCGCGACAGTAGACAGACAAGACAACAGTGCACAAGTAATAAAATAAAGTGGAATGAAATGCTAATGCAATGGGTTAGTAGAATAAGGTTAAGGCTATGGGTTAGTATAAAACAAGGGAATAAAGTTTAAAAAAAAAAAAAAAAATTGTAATATTAAAAGTTAAAAAGAAAAATATTAAGCATAAAGTGCACTAACGAACAAGTAACAGACAAGAGACAAAGTGACAAGTGACGACAAAGTGATGAATTGCAGTTAAAGTGGCATGTGCAGTATGAAGGGGAACGACCGGTGGAGTGTTATAGTCAAGCAGAGGGGGACCGGGCTCTGACTGCCGACGGGAAGAAACTGTTTGTGTGGCGGGAGGTCTTAGTCTTGATGGACCTCAGCCTCCTGCCAGATGGAAGGGGCACAAACAGTTTTTGTCCGGGGTGGGAGGGGTCGGCCGCGATCTTTTTAGCTCGCTTCAGAGACCTGGAAGCGAACAAGTCCTGCAGGGACGGCAGATTGCACTTATAATGGCTCTAATCTATAGCAAATTGTAAATTGGTTTATTTGATGAAATTGCACATTTATGTTTCCTGTTCTTCTGAGTTGTAACCTTATGGTTGAAATGAGCTTATTGTAAGTCACTTTGGATAAAAGCGTTAGCTAAATGACATGTAATGTAATGGACGGACAGTTTCTTAGTTGAGTGATAGTTAGCCATCAGTTTTATCTGTTTTTAGTACTTACTGTGGGTCATAAAAACAACGTCTCCAGACCTCTGCATCTGATAAAAAGTCTAATGCAACTACTCCAAACCTCTTTTGTCCATCCCCTGATCTCCAGGAGTCTTCTTAGATTTTCTGCAACTAGTCTCTGGACCTTTTCACAGAGTCTATTGACAGTACCTTCTCCAAACTTCTGCATGGAGTCCAGAGATCACATCAGCTGGTCCACAGAGCACTGAATTTATTCTAATCACATGATCAGTCCCAGTCATCTGTCTCCAGAAATCTGCAGCTGTCTCAAGATGTGACCTCTCCTGATCCTCTTAATGGAGGAACTAGCTCACATTGTGTTTACATATGAGAATGCGTACAGTTAATGATTCACAATTAAACACATACAGACCAGTTATATCAAGATAATAAGTTCTGTCATGATTGATCGTCAGGGAAACAATGCACAACCATCTCTGTAATTCATAACTGAGGATGAGAACTTACTCTGGGTCATGAGAACGGCGACTGTCTTCGAAGTTAATCCGATGACCAATAGACTGATCACTCTTCATGGACACACAGCTGGGTTCAGGAGACTTTCCTCTCTTCTGATGTGAACTGAAAGAAACACTGAGATTACATCATCACATCATCATTTTGATAATCAAAAACGTTTTCCCAGTGCTCATTTAGGGAGTCACTGTCTTGAAGAGTGCAAGGCCAGAGGAAAAGCAGAAAGTGTCAACCAGGCAGACCCAGGTCTGATAAGGATGAGATTTAGAGACCAAGCACCATACAACACTCACGCTTTGTTTGTTATGTTTACATATGTTAGAAGACCACACATTGCATGTGATTGGATCTTGTGTTGTGGCGAGAGGACCTGCTCCTCCTCAACGCCAGTTTAGGGCCAATAGAAATCTTTTCTTTTATATACAAGAAATACAAAATATGATTGTTTTTCCTTATGTTAGTCAGTTGTTCTTCTGAACTGCTCCTGCCTTTGCAAACGCAGCGCTTATACTTGACCTGTGATCTGACAAATGCATCTACCAGAACGAGATAAGTTGTTTGGCTGAATTTGTGTAGAATAACCCCAACCGGGCTTCCAATTTTGTTCACAATCTTTCAATTTAATGAACCATCAGCTCACATGGTGTCCGTCCTCACAGAGACCAAAACATGGTAAAGGTCCATGAAGTGATGTCTGCATGTGGACTACAAGACTCCCTGTAGTAGTCCAAGTCTACTGGTCCTGCTGGTCCCACTTAGAATCAACAGCTCAGTCTTTCAGCTCACTGCTTTCTTCACCAGTCGGTTTGATTTAGTCCCAACAGCTCTGACCAAGCCCTCCATGGAGCTCTCCCTCCCTCACTGGACACTGCTGAAGGGCCCTGGAGCAAGGCACCTAGAAGCTCCATCAGAGTGTCTGATAGAAACACCTCATCATCAGCCTGAGACTCTCACCTTGCATCAACAGAGGGATGGCCATCTTTGAAGACTAGAGGGTCATCAACAAACAGGGGACTCTCCATGGACACATCGCTGGGTTCAGGTACAGATCCAGGACCAGGTTCAGCATCAAGTCCATATCCAGCTCCACGTCCAGGTCTCTGATGTGTCCTGGTCACACATGTAGAACCAGAGTCAGTAAATCAAAGACATTGGGACATGGAGAAGAGTGGACGACAGTTGGAAATGGTCCTCTTACCTGTGAGCTTTGGTCTGGCTGTCATGTTCCCCACACAGAGGGGCTTCAAAGGGAGGGACTATCTCCTTTGGGTCCTCACCCTGATTCATAGTAGAGTCCACACCTTCATACGTTCACAAGAACCTGCTGGGAGAGCTCACACATTAGTCTCAACACTAAGTCTCTCATGGGACACTTTCCATATTGTTGTTATCTATGTTAAAGTTTAGACTTCTGGAGAAAGACAAACTTTCTTCTTCCCTCATTTTAACTCTGTTAACATGTCAAGAGACGTCATTTTAAAAGCTCATCCTATAAATGTAGTGTTTTTTTTTAACCTTTGGCAGGAGGTCCATCAGGACAAGAACTCTTTTGAAACAGAAACAGTTTCTTCCTGTCAGCAGTTGGATTCATAAACCAAGTGCAAGTCCCCTATTGATCCGAATACTCAATTTTTTCTCCATTTTTACTGCATTTTTTGAGTTTTTGCACATTCTGCACATTGGTTTCTCACATACATCTTACATACTTATTTTAACGTATTATCTTTTTATATTGTTTTAATTTTTGCTTTTATATTTCTATCTTATTTTACTTTACTGTTTTATTCTATGTTATCCGCACCAATCATCAAGACTAATTCCTCTATGACTAACATATGTGGCAAAAAGCTTCTGATTCTGATTTTATTGTCACTCATCCAGTAGATGGAGCTGTGCTATTTCTCCTCTTGATCTCCTTCAGAGTGCAGACGTCAGTAAAACACAGACCAGTAAGATGACATGAAGCTGTTCTGATAGGAAACACTGGTTACTATGGTAACATGGGGAAGCTTTCTCTTGGTGGGATGGTTCACTTTACCATGTGATCAGTTAGTAAAAGGTTGACAACAACCTGAGGGATATTGCACGAAACCAGGATATGGGATTAAGCCGGGATTTTCAGGTTATCCTGGATGAATTAGCTTTAACTTGGTTGCACCAAAGCAGGTTGAATTAAACCCAGCCAAGCAACCATGGCGATGTATTCTTTGGAGAATGTACCATGTATGAAGAGGGCAGTTTCTGCAGGTGGAACAGAGTCAGTAGCTGTCCCAGCCTGAAACCCGTCCATCACAGGGCTTCCTTGGTTTAAAACAAGGGCCAATTCCTCAGCTGGGGTGAAGCCTGGTGCTGGTGCTGGTGCCCCCCTTCTTCTTAACTGCTAAAATCGTGTTGGATAAAATATGTGAGCAGGCATCTTGTAAGTTATTTCTACATACCGCAAACTGTTAAGGCATGTACCAGCCTGCAACATGTTTTTATACTTTATCTTGACCTGCTGGCAGGATCTTTTTTGTTCAGTCTTGTTTGTTCTGTATGAACATTAATTGCATATTAAGATATTTGACATAGCTTATAGAGAACTTTCCTGGTAAGTTTTTAAATCCTTCCGCATTCAGTCTGTCCGCTCTCTGTTTAATTACAGCTGCCGTTTTTCTTCGATACTTAACTTCCTCATAGGTTTCCATAATTAGTTGCTGCTCAGCGGGTAAAAAAATATGCCGCGCAGTCTTCTCCATTTCTGCATCAGTAAATCTGTGATCGATACCGTGGTCTACTTAAGAAAGCCGTGGACGCGCACTTATCCCAGCTGTGTAAACCTGTAAACCAGGTTTATGGACTCATAAGAAGCCAAATCCAAGCCAAAAGATAATTTTGATCATTTGGAAAAAACAAATGTGAACCTGAAAGTTTTGGTCTTGAAGATTGAAAAATACAATGTATTCAAAAAAAAATAAGTGGACGAAAAGTGTTGATTCATAGTTATCATAGTGCCTACGTTTCCTGAAGGCAACGGTTAAGATTAACACCTTTGTTAAGCTGTCACACTTACTGAGTTTGTAGACATGAACTTCTTCAGTGTGCAGCTCTCTTCTGTCCTCAGCAGGTCCGTGTAGAAAAGCAGCTCCGTGGTTCACTTCAGCTTCCATCAGACGGAGTGAAGTGAGGCAGCTTGTTGTCCTTCATCAGAGAGTGTGTGTCCTCACGTCACCTTTAAAGTATCCTGTCTGACTGGTTGACTGAGTCTCAGTCTGACCCTGAATCCTCCTCACTGCTCAAACAAGAGTCCTTCAGGATCAGCATCTGTGGAACAATCCTTTCAGATTGTAAAGAGTTGCTATGACAACAGACTCGATGCTGTTGTTGGGACCAGATAGTTTAGAGGACCCGTGCGCGCCCCACTTTGTCACCTGGGCCTTTGCTCTGGCGAAGGTTCATTTGAGCCAGCTGGATTAGTTTGCCACTCTCCCGGAAAATTGATGAAGGAGCGATATCATTTAATACATTACAGTGATACAGTCAATATCCTCATAACTATTTATTCATATCAGTTAGACTCTTTGGGCTTTTTATCTACTTATTCTGAAAGAGTTGAGATTATTATTTTCCCCAGCAACCTCTCATTAGATAATGATGCATTCCATGAAGCCTCCTGCCAGCAACCCATTTAACGTAAAATTGTCTTTGTC